TGTATGACAACCTAGTGACAAGGATACCTGCAGTGCCAGCACAACTTTTATGACGTCATGCAAGCTGTTGAGTTTGAGTGAATAATTCCAACTTTGCACTGTTTGTGTGTTGTCATTGTGTTAGAGAGAGTAAATGTCATGAATAAATTTGACATTAAACACAATCCAAGTTGAAGTGTTAGATCATTTTCAGCCCCCCTTTTGGCATCTGTATTTGGTAGCAGCCAAACTGGTAAAGACCATGCAAAATAATGTAGTATTTTAATTCCACAGCAGAGAAAGCTATGTGGTCTCTGTAAGTAGGTCTAGGGGGAAGTATCGGTAGTGGTATCGTTATTGGCCAAATAAGTTTTAACATATCGGCATATCGGATATCAGCCAAAAATCCGAAGGTTTAAAATCAAGTGATAAATTAACCTATTTTAAACAAATGTGTTGATTGTTCCAGACAGAGAAAGTTGATTTGAAAAGCATCAATTATCCTGAAAGAGAAATCATCTTGCATTGGGCTGGTAATCAGTATAATAACAGTGAAGGAGATGAAAGTTGTTTGTGTTTGCAGTCCAGAAAGAAGCCATAAATTTAACCCAGAATCATTAGCCTGTGACCTTTTTTTAAGACACCAAGCTACATTTTCACTTTTGCTTTCTAATAGCCTGTAATTAGTAGATTCTAGCTGCTGTGGTTGACTTTGTAATGATGGAGGTCATCCTGCGCATACTTTCTAGGAGAGTGTTGTCTCAACTCCGGTGACCTCTTAAGGTTCATTTAAGAAGCCTGTTTGGTGTAAGATTAAAAAAAAAGATTAAACTCTCTTGCATCTGGTTTCCAGTTTTGATTAGATTGTGGATTATTCCTGACAGGGAACACAAAGTTCAGAGCAAACATTAATATAATAAATGGTGTTGTATGAACGCCATCATTATGAGAACCTTGAATAAAAATTAGCTTCTGCTTGGTTAAATTATAAAAAATAATAAGCGACACCTTCTGATTTGTGAAGGGCTGTGTTTAATGCAACCTCCTCTTCAGTAACAAAGCTGCTAAGAGGATTACGCCGCTGTTGCCACAGAAACTTTAGCGACCAGTGCAGCGGGAGATTGGAGTGGGGTGGGGAGTTCATGAGGAGAGGCAGGCGTAGAGGAGGTCACACAGACATCCCTTTGCCCACACAGCAGACACACTTTTTTTTTCATTTGACGTGACACAGATTTTTACAGGTTTACCCACCATGATAAACCCTTTGATCATCGGCATCATGACCGTAAACACCTCTCTGACCATCTTCTACTGGGCCTTCATCCTGGGTGAAGCTTACCTGAAGTGGTTGGTGGAGCCAGAAGACAAACCCAAGAAGATAGTTACCCCAGCCTGAAGGAGCCAGCATGGATCTACCTGCCTGCCTGACTGACTGACTGGGCTTTTTTTTTTTTCTGCTAGTAGGGCTAGTCTGGAAAAGCAGTTCAGCTTGTAGTGCTTTCTGTGGAGTCGTATTTGCAACAGTTGGTTTTATTTGATTTTAATCTTGAGAGCAGAAAATCGAAGACTCCTGCAAGGAGTCGTTTTCTACAGGTAATCTTCTAATAGAAAACTGTATTATTGTGTGACTTGTCCTCGGGGTGGTGGTTTTAAAAGCAGATGCAGCACCTCTTAAGAGTGGAGCTCCCCAGGTGACCCTTAATGAACCCGTGTGCTTTGCTTTCTGCTGACTCACTGAAAAGTCGGCAACAGTGTCAACCAAATCCTGCGAAGGATTACTTGAGAACACCTCACAGCTTTGCTCGCCTTCAACCGGAGACACATTCGTTTCATCCCGCCTTTGGTCTCGCTGCTTCTTCTTCTTCTTTTGCATCTTTGAACATGGCGCATGTCTTCTACTACGGTTTGCACCCAGTCTCTTGGTTCATTCTCTTCGCCAACATAGCCGTCAGCATCATGGAGTGGAAGTTTATCGCTCGCGAGTATTACAGAATCGTGACAACGCCGAAAGAAGAAGAGCCAAAATCCTAAAGGACATTATCTGACAGATGCTGCTCAGAGAAGATCTGTGAGGATGAAATAATAATAATTGCTGTGTATTTGTTGAGGAAAACAGTGATGGTCAGATGTTTCCCCCCTCCACTATGATACCTGATCTTGTTGTGTGTTTGTGGTTATTTTCCAGAGTTGCCGCAGTAGATTACGCACCTGTTTTGAAACCCTGTCATTCTCAGATTAAAGAAAACGCTGAACAGGTAAGGCAAATGATCATAAATGTTCCTCCAGTGCTTCATGTTTTCCTTTTTTTCCCATACTTCTCATTTCACATTGAATCATCTTTGCACTGAACAATGTGCTGACATTCTCATCTACAAATTATTTTAATTGATATTTAATTGTAACTGAGACATTGGGTTATCTCATGTTACACGTACAGAAACAGATGTTCACTCTTATGAATGGTGTGCCTCTGTTTAAACCCTGAAGAAAGTGGGTTCATGTGGATTTCTGTATCATATGTATCTCCACATGCAGCCTGGTCACAGATGACCATAAGCCTCTTTTGTGCCTTACTGTCCTCCTCTCCTCGCACATATCTCTAATCCCTGCAGATGGAAAGCTGATACTCCTTTATGTCTGATTCAATCCTATTAACTCTGTCTGTCCTACATTCACTTTCCTCCAGAAAATTTGACCCCTCCATGAAAGAGTAAAAAAAAAGGAATGCCAGTTCTCTTGAAGAAATTCAAAGAAAAGGCAAAGTACATTGCTGTTTCTCTCTTTACTTACGGAGAAACGTGTCAGAAAGCCGTGCGTTTGTTTCCATCAGTCCTCTCCGTCCTGTCATTCTCCCCTGCGTCACTAAAAGTTTTCAGATCTTCTAATGTCCAGTGTTCTCCCTCCTGTCACCTCTTTTCCAAAGATTCACAATGAAGTGATGCGGAGAAACAGCCCCAAAGCTTCACTACTTTTCTCTCAGCGTTAACAAAGTTTGAAAGCAGAATGAACGAGCGAGTAATCGAGCCCCGGAACTCAGGAGGATCTCAGCTTTTGAACCTCAGCCAGCTGGTGTTCGGGCAGCGCCAGCTCCTTCAGCTCTACAGACAGGATGAAGACGACGCGTATTTTGTGGACTACATCCCTCCAGCGAGAGATGCCATAACGTTACCACGAAGTGTAGTTTATGTCCTAGCTGGTGTGATGTTGATTATAGTGGCCACTTATGCTATAGTGGGTCACCTGATTAATGACCTCTTGCATGACCTGGCAGGTAACCTCCAGCTGGAGCATCGTAAAGTGATGTTCTCCCTCGTTCATCCGTCTCTGTGTCCACTCTGACACCAGTGTTTGTGCTGTAATCTAGTAGTCTCATGCTCGTTGTCTCATGGCTGTGTCCTACCCTGTGATCTGTCTTCAGTGGACAACTTACCTTCTGGCGTGAACATTAGCACCTCAGCATTCCTGTCCAAACCACAGTGAAAATGACACATTAAAGTGAAACCTGTTTGGCACTATATAAATGTGGTTAACTTCTGAGAACAGTCGAAGTGACAAAGCTGACAGCTTGAGTCCTAAAATGTTGCTTCCTGTCACAGACTGGATCTTCGGGCCCAAATCAGTGGAGGTGGATCCAGAGGACGGGACAACAGAGGAGGAGCAGCGACTCAGCTTTTTCAGTCACCACACAGAAACGGGAGGTGCGCTGAGGATGGAGAAAGAAAAAGAAATGCTACTTCCTGGTTTCCACCAGGGAGACCGAGAACCCCATCGTCTGTCGTCCCAGCCTCCGCTGAGAAGTGCTATCGCTTCCTCGTACCCAGGAGAGAAAAGGATGTCTACTCATAGTGTGACCTTCGAATGCCCCGCGGGGCCTTTTGTCACTTCCCTCTGAGTTTGCATCTCAACTGTGGCTCACATCAGTTTTCATCATGTCTTTGCTGTAGTGTGCAACTCTGATGTAAAAACCCATATAGTTATAGTTTGAGCTCATTTTACAGTAATATGCTTTCTTTTATTATGTATTTAGTAGTTTGTGTGAACATGATCCAGTAGTTTGATTAAACTGACCTGAGTTATCAGGCAATATGTTAAATCCTTCTTTCTTAAAACAATGTTTCGTAAACTAGATGTCAAACTGCAAACTTGCAGACGTTTTAGTTCATGCACGAGCTCTGTTTGTGATCAGTAAAAGTTTGACAACCATCATTATTTCTGTTTTAGCTCATGTTTTCCTTGTTCTGGGGTTGGACTTGGGGATAAGTTCCAGTAAACAACTTCATACAACATAAGTTGGTTGTTGTGTCCTGTCTGCTTTCAATAATCCATCTTACCTTGCTCTAATACCTGCCTGAGGTGACCCTAATTATAAAGGCCGAGGATTACTGTTTATCATCCGTACTACTTATTGTCCAGTACAGACAGACAGGCACAGGGGTTGGTGTGCCTCAGGGAAGAGAGTAGCTTTACAATAAATATTAAGTTGTTGGTTCAAATCCAGCTTCCTCCACCACCATATAAAAGTATATTTGGTTTCTAGACAGTGAATCCGACAATAAACCTGATTTGGAAATAGTTGAGAGTTTGTGTGTGGGCGAGTGAATGAGACTTGTGTAAGGTGAGAAAAGAGTGCAGTCTAATTACCGCAGATAAATCTGGGCTCACGGGCGTTCTGCTGACCCTGAGCGGGTTACGTTGAGGCGCAGCAGCTCATGAGCTCATCTTTATGGGCAAACATGCAGCGAGATCTGTACAAACAAAACGAAGCGTTTCTGAAGGTGAGATGTTCTATTCATTTGCTTTAAGTGGAGTTTCCCTTAAAAAACTGAAACATATTTGAAGGTCTTGGTTGTGAATGTTTTTAATGTTGCTACTAAACTTTTAGCAGCTCCGCTCTTGGTTAAAGACTTAAATCCTTACCTTGGCTTAGTGCAGGGGTGGCACTGAGTGATTACTCATAGACTGACCGCACAGTGATGGACGCACGTCTTCAGAGCCCAAACATTCGTTACAGAGACGACGATGGAACAATCATCTATGAGTCCTACGTTCCACCTGCTCGAGATTCTGTCCATCTGCCTACTTATGTCATCTACCTGCTCATAGCCGTCTTCATCGTGGTGTCTGTTCTTTACGCCATCATTGGCCACCTCATCAAAGACCTCATCCATGATTTTGCTGGTATGTACTTATTTTAAAACCAGAGCCATCAAAGCAGAATAAAAACGTCCTTCTGTTTTGCAGACTGGTTGTTAGGGGAGCAGCCAGAGGAGGAGGAGGTGAACTACTGTGAAGCCAAGGATAAGTTTATTGCAGACTGGTCCCCTGAAACTTCCCCTGAGCTGGAGGCCATGGCTCGTGCAGAGGAAAGCAGGATGGTTGACGGGGACTTTTTGAAAACTCCAGCTATCTGGGTTATCTCATCAGAACCACGTATCACCAGGACAGGACCACGGGTGGTGTTTGACAGGAAGACTTAGTCGTGTAGAAGAAAATAAATGTCATGGTTGAAGTCATGGGCTTGCTGCTGCTGTAAACCCTCTACATGTAATGTGATAATAAGTGAGATGAAGCTTCACTGTGTGAGCCTGAAAACATGTCATTATGTTGTAAACTCTGTTTAATGAGACTGGATGCTGAAGTGGTCCTTCACCGCCATCTAGTGTCTATTATGGTCATTACAACTGGTTTGAGATTCTTTAAACTAACCAAAACAAACCAACACAAACATGCATCTGACATGTGATGAAAAAAAATAAATGTTCTTGTTGTAGCTGCTGATTTTTTTTTTACATTTTATTAAAAAAAACACAAATGGCCTATTAAATTCTACAAAATATTTTAAAATCATTAATACTGATTCAACTTAATATTTGTTTGTTTGTGAAAAAGTATTTGTGCAAATTATAGAAAAGATTGTCAGATTACTTTTCTTTCATTTCCTTTTTTTGAGACATAAAGAATAATAAATTACATCCAACCTCTAAATGTTGTTAATAAATTCATTTATAAGTTGAATTTCTGTAGAATGAAAATGTTTCTTGTTTGTTTGTAAGAATTGAATATATGGAGTGCTGTTTGTAAAGTTGCACAGTCAAAAATTAACATCAATATTTTGGTTTATTTAGCTTTTAATAAGGATTTTTTTTCCCCCAAAGTCATGTTTTCACCTTGCTATTCATACATTTGTAAATGTCATAATTCCCAACTAAATATTTAATTTACAAGATAAATATGAATTTTACTAACTAAATACTTAACTTGCAAGTTAAATATTTAGTTAAACTAATTATTTAGGTATAAATTAAATATTTAATTTACACTTAAATATTTAGTTTACTTACTAAATATTTAATTTCTAAGCTAAACATTTAATTTATCAATTAAATATTTAATTTGCTAATTAAATATTTAGCTGGGACCAAAATATTTAACTAGCAAGTTAAATATTTAGCTAGCAAGTTAAATATTTTGCTAACACATTACATATTTAACTAGTAAGTTAAATATTTAGGTCTGAGGTAAATATTTAGATAGCTAACTAAATATTTATTTTAGAAATTAAATGTTTAGTTTGTAAATATACATATTTAGGTCCAAGCTAAATATTTAGTTAATAAATTAAATATTTAGTTTAGGAATTAAATGTTTAGCTTAGCAATTAAGTTTAGTTTGTAAACTAAATATTTATCTTGTAAATTAAATATTTAGATGGGAATATGACATTTATAAATGTATGAATAACATGGTGAAAATACGACTTTGAAAAAAAAGAAAAAAAATCTTATTCAAATCTAAATAAATCAAAGTATTGATGCTAATTTTTGACTGTGCAACTTTACAAACGTCACCCCATAAACATTGTCCTATAAACATCAAAGTTCATGCTCAATATTCCAGATAAAGAATCCAACAAAGTTCAGTCAGGTCATCTGGACGGTTTCATTTTATTTGTTGTTGCTGTTTAAACGTTTCATCCTTCATCCGTAGGACTTCATCAGTCCAAGGAGCAACAGCAAACTGAGTCCCACAAGCAACACACCCACATAGTGGACCAACCACTTCAACCAATGGGATGAAAGACGAAACGTCTCAGGTCTTAACAACAAAAAATAAACTGTTCAGATGACCTGACTGAACTTTGTTGGATTGTCCTATGATATAAACTGAGTTTAACTGAGAGTTTTTAAACACAATACAGTCTAAATATCATAATTCGTGTAAATATAAATGAAGTCACTAAAAACAGGAGCTTCAGCGTCCACAGGACATGTCTACTGTGGATTGGTGGTAAATGCTCAGGTTCTCTCAAATTTCTGCATCAAAGCACAAAAACTCACAAACACACAGAGGTTGTAATGACAACCACTGTCCAGGAGAGGGCGCGCAGGGAAAACAGACAAACAATAACCCACAATCTGCAAACTACCACCACTAACAACCAGTAGTTTATTTTACCTCATTCTCATCAATAAAGCTGATTCTGATTCTGTGCATGCTCAACATCTCGTTAAAAGTCGATTTTAAGTCTTTGCAGGGGTGAGACGTGCCTACATAGTATGTTGACAATCCCAGTAATTATTTTATTTTTATATATTCGGCCATTTTTCCATAAAAACTTAGGTATAACACTTGCCTATTTATTTTAGCTTCATACAGGAAAAAAGAAAGGTCCAGGATAGTTTAAATTAATGTGTTTCAAGATTTTGAAGTACAAAAGCATAATAACTTCCATAACTGTTTTATGTTTTAAGGTTTTAATTATGTTTTGTATGTAAACCATGTTTTAATTATAATACATCTGTATTATAATTGAATACTCCATCTGTACTGTTCTCTAAGCTTTTTTATTGTTTTCTATTGTATGGGTGTACATATGGTTATGTTATGTTTTTAATTTTACTTTATTTATGGGTGTACACAGGCTTATGTCTTATGTAATGTTCTCATTTTTACTTAATTTTTACTTAATTTTTACTTTATTTTACTTTATTACTATTCGCACCTTATGTCGAAGCAAACTCCTAGTTTGTGAACCTCGTTCATTGACATGGCGATAATAAACTGATTCTGATTCTGATTCTGAAAAAGATCAATATCTTAAAAAAAATAATAATTTCAGAACATGCATCTTCACTCAAAGCATGAAATAGAAATAGTTAAAGGAGGCTGCGTTCCATTTCTGTATGCCCAGTTTGCAAAAATGGAATTTAGCCCAAGGTAATAGCTTCAGAAAGACACATTTGTGTGATAAAAAAAACAATTTGTATTCATAAACAAATTGGATGACATAAAACTGCTTGAGTCTCTTTATTTAGACAAATTAAAGAAATGCTTTAATGGAATGAATTTCGTGTGTGTGTGTGGTGGTGGTGGTGGGGTGGTGGGGGGGCGGGGTGTGTATGTGTGTGTGTGCAGCTCTGCAGCCCTCTGTGTTCCGCGCATCAGTGATGGACCAGCAGGTTGGATGTTCGGGATGGATGTCGATGCTCTGAAGGCTTCATGGATTGGAGCTCATCGCCACCGGAGCAGGTCTGGAGAGAGTCCGGGAGGTGAGGCGGGATGTCCGGATCTATGGATCTGTGTGTGCGGGGCGTGCGGGGGGAGAACCGCCGCAGCGTTAGTCAATGAACCCTGTTATATTTGATGAAACAGGAGCAGCAAAGCGCGGTTAGCAGTGATCAGAGGACATCTCCCCCTCTTCTCAGCCATGTTTGATGCAGGCCATGCTCCGCACTCGAGCTGAGCTGCAGCTCCGCAGCTTTACGGCTCCGGATCAATTGGAATGATCGAACAGGCTTTGGACTTTGATAGCAGGATTTTCAGTATGTTGTCTAATTAACTGAACATTTTTCGCTTAAATGGGCTTCAAATTGGGCTTTCTGAGCCGAAATCTGACCTAGTTTGTTGTAGCTGCAGGGCATACATTTGGATGCAAAAGGATGATGATGATGATGATGATGATGATGATGATGAGGCTGTTTAAATGGCCCAGTTCTGCATTTGGGCCGGGGTGGGAAGGTACTGAACCTTCACATTGTGATAAAGCATTTTCACTCTCTAAATATGTTTTTTGTCTAATTGGACAATGTGGGTTACTTCATTACATGTGACCACATGAGCCACAATTACATAAATAATTAAAATAAAATAAAATAAAAACAGTAGTGATGTGATCTGCTCATGCTTTACTCTTCATCCACCTGAACTTTGAAGTCTTTGGTTTGCAGCAGCTGTCAGAGGAATTCACCAACCTCTGTGTGTGTGTCTGTGTGTGTGTGTGTGTGTGTGTGTGTGTGGGGGGGGGGGGGTCATTTATCTGTCATGTGATTGTGGGCTTAATTAAATCAGGTGTCTGGTATTCAGTGCTTCTCACTCTCAGATGAGCTGTTGTTATAATTAGATCATAAATGGAAATGCCCAGGATTATTTGAACTTTGTATCTTTGGGTCTCCTCCCATCACCTCCTTCTTCCTCCTGTTAGGAGCTCACTCTAAATGATTTAGAGCGCAACATTTTTGTCTTCTTATTTTTTCCCTGACAGTGTTGTGGAAGAGGATTCAACACCTCAAAGCTCAGGTCACATGACAGGTAACCCTCATTTTTATCACGACTTTACCCTCATGCCTTTCATTTGGATGGTTTATTTTTAACGCCCCACCTATTTATTTATTTATTTTTATTTATTTTGTAGATTTGTGTAGTGATGACGCAGACAACTCTCCTCCTCTTCAGCTTCACACGCTCAAGCAGTTTGAACAGGTGAGTTGTTGTATTTATTTATTTTTTTTAGATTTGGGTGAGTTTATTATGTGTGTGGTAATTCTCTGTTATTAATATTTCTAACAATATGTAAAATAAAAAAGCTCCAGTGATATCAGGTGGCAGCAAATCTTTGCTACAAAGAAAGTGAGCTATGTTAGTATATTTTGAGAGATTGTTTTATTTTTTTTTATTATTTTTTTTGTCTAAGCTAAACATTGTGGAGAACATATTGTTGGCAAAGAGATCTCCTGCAGGTTCTAATGTTGGGTGGGAAACACCCACATCCTGCTATTTTCACCTGCCTCTGGGTGATTCATGGCCCACTTCAAGTCGGTCCCCTCTGCTCTGTTAATGGGAATTTCCATCCATCCATCCATCCATCCATCCTCTTTACCCACTTCTTCCTTTTTGGGTCACTGGTGCCCATGTCCAGCAGTCACTGAGTGAGAGGCGGGGGACACTCTGGACAGGTCTCCAGTCCATCACAGGGACACACAAATGAGACAAAGAACCATTCACTCTCTCACTCACACCTATAGGCATAATTTAGAGTTACCAATCAGCCTAACATGCATGTTTTTGGTCTGTGGGAGGAAGCCAGTGTACCTGGAGAAAACCCACGTGTACACGAGAGAACATGCAAACTCCACCCAGAAAGATCCCCTGCTGGGATGCGATCCAGCAACCTTCTTGCTGCAAAGGCAGCAACTCTACCAACTGAGCCACCGTGCCAACCCAGTGGGAACAAAAATTGTTAAATCGTGTCATCTGGACCAGTTTCTTTAAGTGAGAAATGTTTCGTCCCCCATCCAGAGGACTTCCTCAGCCTACAGCCTACCAACCAGATCTGTTCAATAAGTAGCCTTCACTGCTGTGTTTCAAGCCAACCTCCTGTTGGAATCTCATCCAAAACAATCAGTCATCATGTACAACAATCAAATGTTTTAGGCCACATGGCTAGAAGTCCTGTCCCTGTGATGGACTTGCGACCCGTCCAGGGTGTACCCCGCCCCTCGCACAATGATTGCTGGACATGGGCACCAGCGACCCCCGTGACCCAAAAATGGAATAAACGGGTAAAAGATAATGGATGGATGGATGGATGGCTAGAAGTCCTCTGGATGGGTAACAAAACGTTTCTCACTTAAAGAAACTGGTCCAGATGACACGATTTAACCATTTTTGCTGTTATCTGGATGATTGAGCTTCTAACACTTTTTCACCCCAATGGGAGTTTCACTACTCAATTTTAAAGAAAAGTCCAAACATATACTGTATTCCATTATTTTAATCAGAAGTGTAGAAGTTGTGTATCAGACATAAAATACTACTACTAAATACAAAATACTTTACGTTTTTATTCACTCTGTGGCGTTATAAAACATGGTATGTTTCCTGGCTTACCTTTCACTTTGATACAATAAGTTATAAAGTATAGAAATGATATTATTAATAAATTATAAAGAACCTTATGTTTGAGCCATTTAAATGAATTGAGCCTCATAATGTGCAGAAACTTGGGTCCATGTTTGTTTTATTTTTGCTGCTGGCACACAGCAGGACATTTTGCTAGATGAGTTCTTGTGAGTATACTGGACATTTGGACACAGGAGGCAGAATTGGTCTGTTGTGGAAACCACTTTGTTTTATGAACATATTATTAGGTTTTTACTGAATCCTGGTGTGACTCAGTCTTTTTCTGGAGCCGTTGCTAAATATCTGGTTTGGTAAAGACGTCCAAAACTAATGTTACTGCAGTTTGTTTTTACATGCACGCTGTCAGCTGCTGTTGTAATTCTTACATTCAACACCACAAGTTTACCAGACAGCAAATCTCCCGTGAATTAGTGTTAACACCACATTATTCTATAGCTTTATAATGTTGGTAATTAAAAAAAAAAAATGTCAAAAGTTGCTGTAGATTGTAATATTTGGTGTGGTGGTTTAAACAAGTAGTAAAACTGCAGTTCACTGCGTCATGTCTTGAGAGGCGAAAACAACAACTTTAGAATAATCTTTGTGTTTCAATAAGAAATTCAAGATAAAACCTTTGCACTGCCTTTTCATTTTATCAACTTGCTCGTTGAGTTTTGGTTAAAAAGACAGATATGTCTTGTGTATTTATAATAGTTGTGTGGAAAAACAGTCACATAAATAAGTTCCTATCTTAAATGGAGGTCAATACAACCTCAGACAAAACATGGCAGAGTGCTGTTATCCACGTCCTAAAATAAGACAACATGAAGGAACTTGGTGGAAAAAACAAAGAACATTCTTACAGCTTGAACTGTATTAATTAGCTGATCATCTTCCGTGTGAGCATCTCTATAAAAGCGTTTTGTCAATTTGCTGATCTGCAGCACTCACATGTGTTAACAAGATGCAACTGTTACTGCTCATCAATCGTGCTTAAATATCATTTCTAAACTATTTATCTCCCATACAACGAGAAAAATTACTCATAAGAGGAAAATATCAAAACAGCTAACAACCATCCCATTTGTGGATGTACCAGTAAGATCACCCCGAGGTCAGACTGTGCAATGCTCAGAGAAAAAAATAAACTCAAGGGTCCTAGTAATTGTGTCAAATGTCATGATGACGGCCTAAAAACACTGATCGTGAAAAGATTATTTGAAAACATTGGATTTTCTGCTTTCAGGGAAAACACAGTAAGATTGAAAAAAAAAAAACCTAGGTTATAGCATATTTACATTTTTTATTTTTTGACTCAGCTTATAGTTTAATAGGTATTAACTTTTTTAAGAAGTTATATTTTATAACTTTGCACAGACATGTCTTGAGTCTTGCTTCATAGTAAACAGTCAGGCAAGAGTTTTATTAAAACCCTCCATTATCTCTAAGCAGAGAAGTTCACAAACAATCCAAATGCACAACAATGCACTGCAGTTGTTTCATAAGGGTAACACGCTGTCAGGAGGGGAGTGGGGTTGCACACTTGACAAGTCACATGGCACGGCCATATGTTATACACATACGTAGGCCGTACACGTGACTAACCATTCAAGACTGAGCAGCTCTTTGAAAAGAATGGATCTACAAAATGTGGCTCCCTTCAAAGAGCCATAAATCCTATCCCTATGATGGAACACCTGGAGAGCTGGTGCAAAGAGAACAACCTTCACATCAATGTGAAGAAGACAAAGGAGATGATTGTGGATTTCAGAAGGAACAAACACATCTACACCCCCCTGAACATAAGAGAATCTGCAGTGAATGTAGTCTCCAGCTACAAGTACTTGGGTGTGCTCCTGAACAACAACCTCAGCTGGAGCAACAACACCACCAGCCTGATCAAGAAAGCTCATCAGAGACTCTACTTCCTCAGACGGCTGAGGCGAGCTGGTCTGGGAAGCTCAGTCCTCACCTCCTTCTACAGGTGTGCAGTGGAGAGCATCCTGTGCTCGAGCATCAATGTGTGGCATGCAGGCTGCACAGCTGCAGAAAGAAAAGCTTTGCAGAGAGTGGTGAAGGCTGCACAGAAGTCTGTTGGAGTCAGTCTCCCCACCATCACCGACATTTACACCTCCAGATGCAGGAAGAGGGCCACCTGCATCATGAAGGACCCCACTCACCCACCACACACACTTTTTATCCCGCTCCCCTCAGGAAGGAGGTTGAGGAGCATTAAGTGTAGAACCACTAGACTGAGGAACAGCTTCTACCCTGAGGCTGTTAGACTCATGAATCTCTAACTAGAATAATCACTGTGAAAAAAATCACATCATGTTGCTGCTGATCTGTTTCAATGTTGCTGCTGATCTGTTTCAATGTTGATGTGTTCATGTGTGCTCATCTGCTCACACAGACTCATGTTCGTGCTGCTGTTCGACGTAATGTTTTTATGCTATTAGTGCTTAGTGTATATTTAGTTGATGTTTTTCTTAGTTCATATCTTAGATGTTATCATTGTTTTTATTTTACATTTTATTGTTGGATGTAACTGGGACCCTGTGTACATAATTTCGTTCCACCACATGTACCACATGAGGTGCGAACGACAATAAAGAATCTCTGACTCTCTCTGACATAAGACAATTTTAACTCTTAAACATCCTTCATGACAACATTTCACCACTTTAGTAACCTCATTAGTAACAAGTCAAGTCAGGAACTGTCAGCAGGTCTGCAGCTGTCACACACATCCTTCCATTCATCATTTACTGTAACTTTATACAACAAACAGCAACCACGAGCTTCTTGGATTTATAATTCATCATTTGTGAAACACCCTATTTTATACACTCGAATCCGTTCTTCTCATCCTGAACATTTCATTGCATTGTTGACCTTATGTGAACCTACATATGACAATTAAACAACATAACACACTTTTATATTTTAGTCACTTATTTGCAACACAAGTATGGTCGTGATTTAATGATACTTGCTCTGCACGGTAACTTTAATTCTCACTTATTTTCTAAAGTGCTTAGTGGTCATCTTTGAAAATGCTGACTGTTTTAAACAGTCATTTAGAAAAGACCCTTCTGCTGCAGGAGGAACTGTTGTAAAGGAGTGTGTGACAAACCAGCCATGAGGGGTGCCCTTGTCTGCAGATGTGTCACCTGTACACTAAAAATAAAACACTCAAAGGTGCAGGAACACATACTGTAAACACTGCACATCATATCCAGTTGGATTTTGATCAAAAGCTAAAAGTTGTGTTTGAGAAAGAAAAAAACAATAACAACTGTACTGATAAGAATAATGTAAAAAACACTGTGTGTATGATGTCATACCTGAAGTTATCTCGAGGCTAACCTCGGTCTTTTCTCTTTTCATTATTTAGCAACAAGACGTAACATGATCAGCAGTCACTGAATGTGTCCAGACCTAAAATAAATAAAACTGATCCGTCTTTCTCATTTGGTTTTAAAGATGCTCACACAGGCAGGTATTTCTTAATCTCCTGTTTCATTTCTCTCAGTTGCCTGACCTCTCGGAGGGACAGTTAGGGGTTTCACCACTCTGTGAGATTCAGGACGCCTCTCTATTAATAGCACTGTGGCTCCAAGCAGTTCTCGTATGTCTTTTACCTTCTCCTCACTCTTCTGTTCGTCCTGTTCGTTAGCCGGAGAACAAGCTGCTCGACTCTCATACAGCAGTTGGTTTTCTGCAGAAAACTAGAAGCCTAATAAAAGAAAAGACAAGCAACGTTGGGACAAAAAGGGGAAAGAATCACTTCATGTTGTTGAATCTGACTGAATGAATGAGATAACTGTAAAACAATTAAAAAAAAACAACAATGAATTTTCAGCTCTGTAACTGCCCCCCCCCCCCAAAAAAAATACTCCTGAAATTTCTGGCTGCAGACAACCAGGCAAGCACATTTGAGAGGAATGGAAAGGTTGTAACAGATAGACAAAGTAAAGGGACAAATACTGTCCAAAAATATAGCAGTCGATGTACTTTGGCAACAATAAATATGTTTCTTTTGAGGATTTCTTGGCTCAACTCAGGAAAAAGTCAGTTTTGACTCATAAACAACTCTGTTTAATTACATGTCTAGCTCTTTGCAATGTGTAAAACCTTTATATGTATCATATATGACATTTTCATGGTCTCTGCCACTTGTGCACTCTGTACTCCTTCCTCTGATTTTTAAGCTGACCCCACCCCCCAAGTCTGCTTTTAATCTGATGACAGGATCCTGGCCTGTTATCTCACCTGATCGATTATCTGTCATCTGAGAGCTTTTGGTCATTTCCAAGCAGTGCAGCTTTATGTGCACAGACACACATTAATTATAATAAGACAACAACAACAACAACAACAAAAATAAGGATATTTTTGCATAAACTAGCTCAGCTGTGAATGATGGCGTCACTCAACAATTCATTAGAGTCACGACTGTGATTGTACCCTCTTCTTCTAACCTGCTGCTCAGTGGTTCCTAAAATACAAACATAATGACAGCTGCGTGATGAATTTGCGATTTTTAAGAAACAAAAGATTTTAGAAGGAATAATCTAAGAAACCCATTGGGTTTCAGAGCAAAGAAAGTCTCTTATGTTTCTTATTTATGTGAAAAGTTCCTGCAATCAAACCATGTCTCAGTCTGTGGCCATAGAAGTTCAGGTGTAGACAAATATAAGTGTTTTTCTTACAGCAGTCAACCCTCTTGATGCTCTTTTACCCTAAATCACGTTTTTTAGAACAATAAATCCCTTAACGTTCCCTTGAATGAAAAAAAAAACTTGTTTGTGTTAACCACAGATATTATTGCGCCGCTCAAGGTGGCTGCATGTTGGAGCAGCTTCATCCATCCATCCATTATCTTTTACCTGTTTCTTCCATTTTGGGTCACTGGTGCCCATGTCCAGCAATCACTGTGCGAGGGGTGGGGTACACCCTGGACAGGTCGCAAGTCCATCACAGGGACACATAGAGACAAACAACCATTCACTCTCTCACTCACACCTAGGGACAATTTAGAGTTACCAATCAGCCTAACATGCATGTTTTTGGTCTGCGGGAGGAAACTGGAGTACCCGGAGAAAACCTACGCATACACGGAGAGAGCATGCAAACTCCACCCAGAAAGGCCCCTGGACCGGGATTTGAACCGAGGTCCTGCTCGCTGGGAGGCAGCAGCTCTACCAGTTGTGCCACCATGCTGCCCTGGAGCAGCTCTGTTACTTTCATTCTGAGATTTTGCTTTTGGAAACTTTAATTCCTCTTTTTCTGGATGTAAATCACATTTTTTGGACGATTGTTTCCTCTGGTATCAGATGCTGTGCAGCTGGAAGGATTTTTATTGAAACTTTTATAGTTTTGGGCATTTGTTATGATGTGTAACCATGGCAACAAGGCGGTTATCTACAACCAACAGCAGCTGATTAACATCTCAAAAGCTCAAATAATATCTCAACTACAGCCCAGAGGAACCGAGAGGCCAGCCAAGTCTGGGTGGATGGATCGGACGGCATCTGCAGCAAGTTTCTTAGGATCCACTGTGGGATGGATCTTTACAAGAGATCCTTCCTGCCTACAGCCATCAGTATCTATAACATCTCTTAATGAAATGAGGAGTAACATTCATGTTATAATGAGGAAATGATGAAATGAAATGAGTTACAACAACAAATAATTTCCCTTTGGGATTAATAAAGTATTTTTGAATTTAATTTAATTGAAGCTTACACAGTGGAATTATCATTATTTTTATATTGATTCTAAACCACCAATAATTATAAGTCAAATTCTTAATTTAGCTTTTATCTCTGAATAGCCGTGATTTATCTTTATTTCTCTCTTTTAGAGCCTTTTTTTTTTCAGACAGACTAACAAAATCAGATGATACATGCTGTACGTAGATATTTCCAGTAGAAGTGATGAGATTCAGATCACAGAATGCACCGTTTTTATTCTGACTAACTTGGTTATGATAATAGTTGTTTACTGCAGATGATGGAGTGGCACGGTGAAGCAGTGGTTAGTGTTGTTGCCTCACAGTAAGAAGGTTAGAGGTTCGCCTCCCTGTCTTTCTGGGTGCAGTTTGCATGTTATCCCTGTGCACACATTGGTTTCCTCTGGGCACTCTCCTCCGGCAGACCAAAACCATGTTACCAGAGTGAAAGTGTCAATCAGTGTTGCCAGATAGAGTCGAGGTTTTCCAGCCCAAAAGTCTGTTAAAAACCACCCGATCACACAAAAATCCACCCAATCAATATATTGTATCTGCGCGTCACATTTCAGGATCTGGTTATTAGACACAGATTAAATGTTCAATATGAATATTGCCATATTTATCACACCAGTAATAGTGTTACACACATTAGTAGTTGTAAACACTCTAAATAATGCATATGTTGGTTTAGTTCTTACCTTTAACCTAAACACTTAAGGAGTAAACATCTTTAATAATCACTTTAAAAGTTATAAATTTTGTCTTTGGTGCCTGTTTGTTTTCCAAATATATTAGTGTGTGTGAATGACAGGCATTAACATAAAACACTTAGTAGAACGGTGCTTTATGAAGTTCAGTTTATTTCCTTCTATCAGTTCACCGACAGTTCTGCCACATCCAATATGGCGGCCGCTCCGACGTACTGCCGCAACGGGCCAGCCCACTCAACGAGGTGTCCACAGAAGTGTCTCACCAGTTCTCTGCTGTGAACGCCCTGTCAGATGACAATAGCCAATCAGTGATGGAGAAAAGGCAGAGGAGCTTTGCTATGCACTAATGATGAAGGATTGTTTGAAATGTGTTTAATAAGTTAACTCATAAACCACCGATCTGACTCCAAATCCGCCCAAATTATTCCCACCTGCCCAAAGCAATTTTTACTGGCAAAATCAGAATGAAAACTGCCCAAATGGCAGTAAACCGCCCAATCTGGCAACACTGGTGTGAATGATTGTTTGTCTCCATGTGTCTCTGTGATGGACTTGTTGTAGCCCTCCTCTCGCACAGCGACTGCAGGAGATGGACTGTGGGTAAAGAAAATGAATGGATGGATGTTTGCTCCTCTCAGTTGCAGAGGGATGATATTTCCTTTCATGTGCCTGTAAGCTCTTAGCCCCCCTCCCTCCTGCGCCCGCCTCCTCTTCCACCCATCTCCCCTGGCAGTCTGAGATTCCAGGGATGTCTCCTCTGGTAAAATAAGCTGCTGTCCCGTCCATCGGGCAGACCACAGAGCACCATGGAGCTGCAGCGGCTGTCTCTCTGACTGCGCGGCTGCAGAGTAGCTCTCTGCACTGAAAACCCTAAAACATTTAGTGTGTGTGTTTGTGTGTGAATGTGTTAGTTTTAGTGTGTGTGTGGTTGTAGATAGAGGCCTAAAGGCTAGGATTTTGTCTGCTGTAATAGTTGGACAGTCATGAAGAAGAAGGTGGCTGGTGGTCACAGGACTCAAACAGGACGAGCCCCGACTGTTGCTGTCCTTTAAAATGTTCTCTTGATTCCCCCTTGGGTAGAGATCTGAGAAGATCCAAGATGACTTTTGTTTTCTGATCAGTTACGGACATGTTGAACAGTGTCGGTGCCCTCTGACGGTCATGTCTAACGGTTACCGTACTCTGTCACAGCACCTGAATGACCTGAAGAAGGAGAACTTCAGCCTCAAGCTCCGCATCTACTTCCTGGAGGAGAGGATTCAGCAGAAGTACACAGAGAGCAATGAAGACGTGTACCGCACGGTGAGTAGCACTGATCTGACCTCCTGAGGACTGCGGGTGTAGGGGGTTGCTCTTAATCAGTAAATGAGACATTTGATCCGAGAAGGTAAACAGTGTCTTTATCATGCGTTATAATTCTCATTCAGCGTTGTTTTACAAAGATCTAAGTTGTCTGTGAAGAACTGATAATTATTTCATGCATCAGTTGTTGAATCTCAGATTTTTTCCTTTCTTAATGGTTCAAATAAGGATTTTTGAAGATATGACACATATTTATCACATAAATTTGATTTCAAGCCTGAATGCGCATGATAGGCTTTTAGGGAAGCTAAGAGAATATGATACAGTGTATTAAAAAGAAATCCCACACTTTAATTTGGTAACATGATCGGGCTGCTATGAGTAAGATGGAGTGGTTCGCACAGCAAGTGTCAGAAGTGCTTTATAAACAGGTTTCCAACCCTTGGGGTGATTGATTCCTGTTTGTTGCTGAACGTTTTATTGTATTTGAGTATAAACTTCTTACGTTACAACATCTTCAGACCTTTTTGCAGTGATGTGTTTGGAACAGGGACAGTTATTAGTAAATGCTGACGGGAGCAGAATCAGTCGAGAATGTCCCGTTTAATGAATAACTGCTTTCATCAAACAGTCAGTAAACAGAAAAAATATGTATATATATATATATATATATATATATATATAATATTTTACGTGTAAATTTCTGTTTTATTAGTTCGGATTCAAGTGTTAAGATGAAAAAAATTTAAACAAATGTAATTTGTTTTGTAATAAAAGATACTTAACGTGATGACTTTACTTTTTTAAGACAAGACTCCACATAAAGCCTCATGACTGATGGCATTAAAAATTCACATCATTTTTTTCCCCAATTCATGAATAATAGAATGATTTATTCTTAAAATAACCATTTTTTTTTTTGCTGGGACTAATGCAAATCTCACACATTTCAAGTGCTGATCATTTTCATATCAGTTATGTTCATTGTCTTTGATGTTGCATCCAAAGGCTGTTTTATTACAACTTCTGGTTTTACAGGTTAATTTGTGGTAAATGTTTTTTTTCGTAATTTCATGCGGTAATTGCTTTAAATGTTGTTGATAGAATGCCAACCACTGATTCCACAATTATTGTAACATAAGGTTTCAAAACATTAAATATACATATATTGCTTTCTTTGCTCGGCTATGAACTGTGCTGGAAAGATAATGAGCAAATGTGTTTTTATTCTCTTACTGAGTGAACATTTTCTCCTCTTGGTTGTATTTTATTCAACATGTTTGACCTTTGGAGTGCAAATTTTAAAATCACACGATTATCATAAACCACGAAGAAAACAGATATTAGTCCGTGCATGCACTTTATCGATTAAAAAAGGTCCCTGTTTCTAGGCGTGTGTGCGTGTCTCTGTCTGCATGTGTATGTGCAAACATGCGTTTTAGCAGAAGGTGACCTGCTTCAGCTGTTGCTTTATGAGATCAGCACTTAAAACTAGCTTCTGATGTTTTAAACCCAGTCTTATAAGCAGCAACTCTTTGGAATGAGACAACTAAAAGCTACATGATCCAATCAAACAAGACCTGAAGCTTCTTTTTATCTCCCACTCTCGCTGCAGCAGAGATTGAGTAAACTGATCCACGTCGGACAGACGCGCAGCTGCAGCTTAATCCTCGTGTGTAGTCAAGGGTTCATCAGAATCATGACTTTTAGCAAACCTAATCTTGTTTCCAAAAGTGTGTACCTGAGCTGAGATGCTCACGTTGATTCCAGTAAAGCGGGTGAATTATTGTCATCTCTCTGAAACGTTTTAGTGTAACTCTACACCATCTAGGTGTGGGTACATAGAGATCTCACTGAGAGCTCCACCGCTATTTATAGAACAGGCTTCAGATTTATTCATCACATGTATCCTGATGAGTATCCACAGATCCAAACATCAGGTTTCTCTTCTCCTTTTACCAAAGCTCAGGCCATTTATCACCTTGTGGATTGAATCTGGGACATAAACAGCATTTTGGAACGTATTTGCAGAATAACGTTTGATTTTCTGGCGTCAAATGAAGCTGTTGATTAATTGTGTTAATGCCAAAGACGTGTGGATTCTGTCATGGTAAACGGATAAATGGACTGCACTTATATAATGCCGTTCTATCTGATCAATATACGAAAAGGGCTTTACAGTACAATCTGTGATGTATCTGTCATGGTATCAGATGGTACCTCGGTGGTAGAAGATGAGCAGATCAGGTGTGTTTTGTGGCTCCTCCCTCCTTGTGGTTAAAAGTGGGGCTGTTGCTGAGAGCCCCCGGTCCAGGAGGGTCAGAACAGCAGGAACGTGGGTTTCTATATTTAGGACTGTTTTTTTTAAGGAGAAGATGTTTGTCTTTTTGTGAAACCCATTGTTGACAGCCTGACAGCTGTTTATTTCCAGGGTGTTACTGGTTCTGCTCTGTCAGATTGGATGTCACTTCTGTCAAACCCCAGTTTGAAACACTAGTAGTTATTGTACAAAAAGTGCCAGGTTTGGGTTTGTTTTAGTAAATTTTATGTTTTGTTTTTGTTATTTTAGTTGACACCATTTTTGCTTCAGATTCAATAAATCACCTCATCCAAGTTAGTGAGCTCTTCGTTGGGGCGGCTGTGACTGAGCGGTTAGAGAGCTGGGGGTTCAATTCCACCAGCAGTCACATGTCGAAGTGTCCCTGGGCAAGACACTGATCCCCTCATTGCCTCCGATGTGTGTCCCATCTGTGCATGAATGTGATAAGGCTCTGATTATTCTTTTTAAATTATGGTAGAGTGCTGTATGAATGCAGTAAATGAGGGCACAGATTGTAGCGTAAATCACTTTGAGTGTCTTCACAAGATAGAAAGGTGCTATATAAATACATTCCACATACCATTAACCATTTACCATTCCTTTAATTTAGAATACAACTAAATTGTGCTGCCGTGTTTGACTTTTCTGAACGTGTGATGTTAATTTCAGGAGATGCTCAATAAAACACGAGCTGCTGGACGTCTGTTTTCAACAAGTTGGTCCCAGCAGTTCTTCCTCCGATTTTATCCTCAAATGGTGTCCCCATTGAGTTTGTTGATTCCTATAAATATTTGGGTATCTTGGTCGACTCGCATCTCTCTTTTAAGCTCCATGTGGAAAACTTGGTAAAGAAACTGAAAGTTAAACTGGGTTTCTTTTTCAGAAACAGATCCTGTCTAACCCTGAATGCTAGAAAACACCTTGAATCTGTGACTTTCCTTCCCTCCATTGATTACGGTGACATTATTTACATGAACGCTCCTACAAGAACCCTGCAGATGTTGGATGCCGTCTATCATGGTGCACTAAGATTCATAACTGGCTGTGATTATCGTACCCACCCTGTATTCACTGGTTAACTGGACATCATTAACTTCACGCAGACTCTCCCACTGGTACATTTTCATCTTGAAATCACTTCTTGGTCTGCTGCCTTCATACATCTCCTCCTACATGTCTCTGCGTGAGTGCAGCTACAGCGTGCGCTCTCAGGACATTATTACCTGCAGTGTTCCCTCAGTGCGAACTGAACTAGGCAAAAGGGCCTTCTTCTACTCTGCTCCTGTTTCCTGGAATATCTTACAAAAACAATTGAAGCTCTCGACCTTGACCTCTCTAATTGGCTTTAAGAATCTGTTGGACTCCTGGCAGGGACCAATGCAGACATGTTCCTGTTTTTAGTTTTCTACATTTGCCTTAGAATCTAGCTGTTTTTTTTTTGTTACCTTTTTTCTTTTAGCCATCCTATTTGTTATAAAAAATAAAAAATAAACTGTAGTATGACTTTTTATAACTGTTTATTGTTGTCGATGTTGTCCATTGTTGTCTTCATTCTTTGTTGAAATCAGGTCTCTCTTGTAAATGAGTCCTCGAGGCTCAATGGGACTTACCTGTCTAAATAAAGGTTAAATGAATGAATTAGTCTTCAGAGCAGATTTAAAAACAGGAAGTGAGTCATCTTGTCTGATGTGCAGACAAAACATGAAAGTCAATTTGTTTTCCGTTGGTTTCTTTTTAATAATAAATATGGTTATACTCTCGACTCGAATGAAATGCTGACCTGCAGTATGAGTGCTCACTTTATTGTATTTAATATTCATTTACGTTGTTTATTTGCAGCAGACCTTTATGAACGCTGAACAAAACGAACAGAGAAGCAGGTATAATTCCTGATAATGAGTGCGAGCAGCGTCTGATCTGACTCCAGCACATAAACACAGACAAACGCTCAGCGAGCTGACCTCTGTCTGTCAGAGGGCAGAGTGGAAAGCGTGCGCCCCACTCAGTTCGGACGCCTGCGCCTCATGTCAGAGCAGTTCTAGCCCCCCTGATGTCCCCCTGTGGACCCGAGCAGGTAAACAAACAGCAGAGTTCAGCCCCTGGCTCCTGCGTGAACATCTGAGCTGCTCTGAATTCTCCAGCTCTAAATATAAAATCCGTGCCGGTCAGTCAGATGTTCTGTAACGATGACACATAACACCCACCCGTCCTGATTTACACCACAGAGAGGTTACAGGGAGGTGGAGTGATCTGACAACTGAGGAGACACACAACAAGAACTGTTTGTTTTATTTTACTTATGTCTGAATACTGGGGAAATTCACAAACCACTCTCAGTGACGCTGCATGTCCTTTGTGTCATGTTTTCGCCCCTCCGCCTCTGTTTACTGTGTGATGGTTGCTCACCTCCTGCTCTTTGTCTGCTGCAGAACATTGAGCTGAAAGTGGAAGTAGAGAGCTTGAAGAAGGAGCTCCAAGAAAAACAAGAACTTCTGGACAAAGCCCTGTAAGTTCAACTTTCCCAACTTCAGCTTTCGTGTAAAGGCATTCAATTTTTCTACTTCATTTTCAGTTTGTCAGACCACAACAGTCCCATTTTGTAGTCCTTGTTCATATTTATTATTAACAATAAGCCATAAAGCTTCCCCTCATAGCACATCCTAATATATTCCTCAATAACATATCAAAAGCTGAAGAAAAAATTATAGAGTATCTTTACAGTTCTAATTCATTTAGGTGAAAGTTCACAAAAAATAAAAAATATATTTTTAACAACAAGCTGCAATGTCCTGATGACTCCCTGTCAAAAGATTTAGAGGCTGTAACAACACCTCAGTTTAAAAGTTAATGCTCCATAATCCAGGTAAAAAATCCAACAAAGTTCAGTCAGGTCATCTGGATGGCTTCTTTTTTTTTTTTTTTTTGACTTTTCATCCTTCATCCAAAGTACTTCATCAGTCTGAGGAAGTCCCACAAGCAGCAAACCTACATTGTGGACCAACCAAGTTACTGGTGATAAGATGGTTTCTGTTGCCCATCCTCTCCCCCATCATCTCCTCTGAGGCAGCCATTGCCAAAGTGGTTCAAAACAGCAAAGTGTTGTTTGGGACCGAGTTTGTTGTGGCTCCTCAGACTGATGAAGTCCTTGGGATGAAGGATGAAGCATCTCAGAAAAAAAAGCCATACAGATGACCTGACTGAACTTTGTTGGATTTTTTACCTGGATTATTGAGCATGAACTTTGATGTTTTGAACCGCTTTGGCCATGGCTGCCTCAGAGGAGTCGACGAGGGAAAGGCCGGGCCCAAACCATCTTATCACCTGCAAAATGGTTGGTCCACTATGTGGGTGTGCTGTTTGTGGGACTGAGTTTGTTGTGGCTCCTCAGACTGATGAAGTCCTTTGGATGAAGGAAGAAACGTTTCAGGTTAAAAAGGCCGTCCTGATGGCCTGACTGAACTTTATTGAATGTCTCAGTTGTTTTTATTGTGTGTCAGCATCATTAAGATCAGATCTGCTCCTGTTGTCTCCCACTTTAACAGCATCTAAGATTTATGAAATCATCATGTTGTGGATTGTTGTCTGATCATTGTCAGACTCTTTGTGATGCTTCAGTAAGTCATCAGTCATCCATCTGTTGTATAGACATGCAATCATTTCAAAGATGTAATCAAGAGGTCAGTGGGGCTGAGCTGTGATTCTACCAGAAGATGGTGACCAGTTCCCACAATTCATTGTCAAAAACTTTGAAACACATGAAAAGAATGGAATTTAAAAAATAGAGCTTGGGTTTCATCTTTATCATGTGAATGAAGTCTGAGTCAGCATGCACACTGATGGTTTCCTGTTTATAGTGGCCTCCAACGTTTTTGGACTCCAACTACTTTTGTACACTTTGTGCTATTTTAATCATTATTTTGTCAAAACATTAATGTCAATTGGGAATTGTGTAATTATTCAACTTTAACGAAAAGTTTTCTCTAAACCATTCGATGTTTTTAGTTTAAAAACCTTCTTCGCTTGGAAATCTAGTTCAATATACTTGACTTTTTTGTCTCATCCTACTTTTAGCTTTTAGCTACTGTTTTGCTCATTTTAGCTTTGAGCTATAGTTTTGCTCAGTTTAGCTTTTTATATTTTTATTGTTTTTATTTAACGATTCAGTTTCAGCTCCTTCAACAAATATCAGAAAGTGTGGCAGAAAATGCAAACTTTTCTCATTTTATTTCTTGTAATTTCATCTTTTCTGCCCATTGTGTAATATTTCAGGAATAAAAGGATGTGACAATAATGGCAGTAGTTTCTGCTGTTTGATTCTTTGGTTTTACAGTGAGCTCAGCATCAGTTCAGCATCAGAGAGGACACACAAAGATTACTAAACGTTCTTCCTGAGGGTCCACTCAATGCCACGAACACTTGCCCCTGAGACACACACATGCATTGCTTCGACTAGTTTCAAAATATCTCAGTTATCTGAGCTGCTGCGTGTGGCAGATGGAGTTAAAAATGTGTGTCGCCGGCGTCTGTAACAGGTTTTGTGGCGACAGAAAGGCGTGGGTCATTCTGGGAGCAGGAATTCTGGGATGCAGCCGTTAACTAAGTGAAGCCGCAAGATGCTTTTAACATCCCAAAGTGTGAGAGAACCTTGTTAGGAGTCCTACAGAGAGAATCAGGATAGGTGTGGACAAAAACTAACCCAAGTTTAAAAGGCTTACATGTCAGGATTTTTGCTCCGTGTGACATTATGAATTTTTCATGACATAAATGCAGCTTATTAATAATTCACAAGCCTGTGAAAATGATCACCTCTCCCAGAATGTATAATGACAACAGCACACACTGTGGGTGAGGCACTTATTTATTATCAGCTATAAGTGGATGGTGTGAGGACATACTAGAGCCCCACAGCAGACAGACAAGCGGTGACATCAGATTTTCTCTTGGCTCTCCCTGACGTCTCCATCAGGTCCTAAAACTGACCCCTCTGATGTCTGTGTACACATGTAAACTAAGTAAAGTACAGTAACTGGTAAAAATAACTACCCAAAGATTTATTTTAGATCCATCACTTAAACTGTTTCTGGGTAGGAAGCCAGACGTTTTAAGGATTTGATTCAGTTCTTGGTCCTGATGATCCTCGAGGAAGTAAAAAGTGTAAAAATGCCAAAAATGGGAGAATTTGTCTCAATTTACACTTGTGGTGCAGCATTTTAGATAAGCTAACGATTGCTCAGAACAATTTGGACATATCTTGATAAAGAATTACAGTGATGCAATGTAAAAGTAAAAAAAATGTTTGAACAAGTTGTATTAGGCAATTAAAAAATGAGTTACTACAAATGTGCTTTAAGTTCAGGTCCATATCCAGTTAAGAATAACAAGAAAGCCTCGTATTGGTACTCTAGGCCATGGTAAAGCCATTGAAAATTAAATATGTAATTAAATGGCGGAGAGTTCAAGGTCCAAAGACGTTTCCATGTTTAAATATGGAAGCAGCAAAATCCATCCAGTAATCAAGTAATGTTTACTGATGCATTTGATTTTTCCCCTCTTTAGCACAACAGCTGAGAGTTTGACCAACAACAATGAGGCTGAGCTGCAGAGACGATGTCAGGAGAGACAGCAGGAAATTGACCACATGCAGCAGGTGTTGGAGACCAAGATTCAGCTCCTGCAGGAGGTTCGCCTGCTCCACCTGTCACCAATAACACACAAACACACACTTGTGTCATCTTCACAAATCACTGATGTTTCACTGTGTGGGCTGCAGGAGGCCCAGCTAGCTCGTAGCGAGGCTGAGAGGATGGCCTCACTGGTCGGATCCCACTCCCACACTTCCCTCGTTTCACTGGACGCTGCCATGGAGGAGATCCCTGAGGATGAGAGACCTCCACACCTCCTGTCCCCGACCAACACCAGCAAAGACAGGCAAAAAAGACAGAAAGAGCTGAAATTAAAAAATGTTCTCAGGAACACCAAACTAATTAAATCAATCATCCGTTTCCATTCAGGCTAATCGAGGAACTGAGTAAAGAGCTTCGCTCCAAGGAGGCCTTCACCATGGAGCTCTGTGAAGAGAAGGAAACACTCACACTCAGGGTTGGAGAGCTGGAGGACCAGGTTCAAGACTTGTCTTCATCTCTGCTACAGAAGGACAAGGACGTTGAGGTATTTATGGTTGTCAAATCTAAAAATATTTCAGTATCTATCTGTGTAGTCTACTTTAAGAGAACAAAGCAAATATGTTTGTGGGGTTTTTTTACATTTAAGTGCGTGAGTCAATCTTTGATCTGTTCTGTGCACCTAGAATATTTTCTGTTTTTTACAGTTTTATCAAGAGGAACTGAGTCAGGAGAGGCTGCGAATTGAACAGGAGATGCAGGTTAGTGAGGCGCAGTAGATGAAACTTAATTTGTTTTTTTAGAACAACTACAGATTATCATTTTATTCCATTTATTGTTTTCTAGTACATGTTTGGGTTTTTCCCCCTACAAATATACTTTACTATTTTTTTAAATTTACCCTTTATTTATACAGATAGTCTCATTGAGTCACAAGAACTCACTTTCAAGAGAGACCTGTTTTTTGGGAGCAGATGACAGAGTGGGGAAAATGAGGGTGGAGGCAGGTGTGGGTGGTGTTTCACCTTTTCCACCCACATTTTGATGTTGTCAGTCCGGGATGTTGAACCTGCGACTTTCCGATCGCAGGCCTATCTTCTCTAACCTCTGCGCCACCACTTCCCTACATCATAGACAGAGCTGTCCCATAACAACCACTCATTAACAAATTACATAGATGCATAACGACAAAAAAAAGTATAAATACATAATTTACTTTTGAAAATTTTTAAATTTTGCATGGTTTATAACTATTGTTGGGGGGGGGGGGACTGCTGTTTGAAATCTTAAGCATTAATTAGTATGATATGGGGGCCAAGATGGGGTAGAGGCAGGGCAGCAGACCCGGGACCCGAAAGCCCCAGGCTCAGTCCCGAGCCATTGCACATCTCGTGGTGCCTCCAAGCAGGACACCCCATCCCCAACTGCCCCCGGGCACACCCAATAGCCGCCCACCACCCCACCCGGGGGTGGATGGGCCAAATGCAGAGAGCCAATTTCATCATTGTATGTTCCCATACAATGATGACACATAACACATTATTATTAATATTATTATACTCAGTGGGACTTTTGCCTCTCAGTGACAAACAATAGAAAAAACACTTTTTAAAAATAATGCACATTTATTTTTATCAGTCTCAGACCTAATAACAGTAGAGCACTTCATCAGAGAGACTCTGCCTCCTTATGGTAAAGCAGAGCTAAAACAGGTCACGTTTCAATCAGATTTATGGTCAATATTCATGGCATTTATTTTTCAAATGAAATTATTTAGAACATGATCAAATATTATGTTTAACTTTCAGTTTTGATACCAAGAAAGAAAAAAATTGCACTAATAAATTTTTCCCATTTTACTCACAAAAGCACAGTTTTCAGTTTCTAAAATGCACTTTTTCTCTGCAAAGTTTAATCATCTTAAACTAAATACTCCTAACAGTTCTATAAAAATGGGAGTCTGCAAAGAACTAAATCACCATTAATCAGTTGTTCATGATGCCAGAACAAGTAAACATAACTCTGTCTTCTTGCTGTAACCTTGCGTGGCGATGATTAAATCAGCTTTCTGGAGCTAACCGAGAGGAGCAGCATGACACAGACACAACTGTGTTCTTGTTAAACCTGCAGCGGTGCATTATGTCAGGCTGCCATCTTACTGAGGCTTTATCTCATCACATAAAGTGCCAGAATGTCATTTCATTCACAGGCTGTGGCTGCAGTGACATCCCCAAGGACACAAAGCACTTTATCAAAGCAGCAGCTGCGCTCTTTGCTCAGACAGAATTTTTTTTGTTAGTTTACAACCATAACATTCAGCTCTTCTAATCTTGGCCTATGAAATGTCTGTTCTGCTATTTGGCTGTATTATCGCCCACCATCATGAAAAATGGTTATACCTCAGTCATTTTTACATATACTGAGCTAAAATTAGGTGTGGTAGTAGCTGAGAGTCATCCCCCACACATACAGCAAGCTGGAACAGATTGCACCACAGCTTTGTTGACATGCAAGGTGACGTGTGTTTCTTCAAGGAATGTTTTCATTTAATTGTCTGTTTTTGCCTCCAGCGTGTTTTTTTTTTTTTTTTTTTTTTTTTTGTTGGACTTGCTTTGTTTGTGGCATCCCTCCAAGATTGTTTTAACTTGTAAATCGATTTGAATGAAGAATGCAAATGTACTTGAGGAGCAGGTTCTCAGCTCCAATCGTAGACTTGATGAAAGGAAACAGGAAAAAATGTATGTGTTTGAGAGCGCAAGTGTTCATCGGGCGACTGTTCACACTCAGAGGCTGTGATTGTCGTCAAAGTCTCCGCAGCCAAATATTAATGATGGTGACCAGTGTGTGTGTGTGTGATTACATTTCTAAGAAGTGTTGCCTTTCATATGTGCGTGAGTTCAGGCGTTTCTCTGATGGTGGTTCAGCAGTTCTAGTTTCATCTGAGCTGTCGATAGGTCGGGTCGATCTCTGAGTGCTCTGAGACCCCGGTGCTGATATCAGGTTGTGTTGTTGTTTCACCAGCCATGCGAGCTCTTAATTGACTCCCCAGACATTTAGCCAATAGATAACAGCTAGAGGAGGAGAGGTACTTAAATGAATAATTAATACACATATGATAGTTCAGATTAACCTTTTTATGTTTGATTTTGTAGCGTGCAATGAGTGCCATTATTTTGCCCAACAATTAGCTTTAACATGTTTCATGTAAATGCTATAATAAGTGCAAAAAAATATATTTGTCACACATGTGGCTGTCAGCAGCAGAAACATCTTATTTAGAGAAAATGTTTTAGGATTAGTAATTAAACTTCAAATAACCAACAATCAGACATCTTAAAGGTTATAAAAGCACTCACCTCTGACTCACATATTAATCAGGAGGGCCAGGATGTCCTGAATCTCTGCTGTGAGGGTGAATTGATGCTCTTGGAAGTCACAGCATGACCATCTGCTTGTGTTACTTAAAGGGAACAAAATATAGTCATTGTAGATAAAAACTTGCAGTTACTTTTACAGTCAAAACTTCTCTTGCTTTATTTTGTGTTTTTATCTCATTTTAGATGTATTTTTTTTATTTTTTTTATTCTTCTATGCTTTTATAGTCTCCTGTTTTGTATTGTCTTATCACTATTTGTGTTGTGTGCAGCACTTTGGCCCCACCGGCAGTTGTTTTTAAATGTGCTATATAAATAAATTTGATTTGAAATCTTCTCTTTTAAATAGCCCGATGCACAAACAAGAAAAAAAAATTGCATATGCAAATGGATTTTTTGGAAAATGTGTTAACAATAATGCCAGCGCATCTATCGTTTGTCTCATATTTATTCAATATAATGTTTTGACACCATTACCATTTATAAAAAGCACATGTGACGAAAACTTTTTGATATTTTGATATAGAACTGACTAAAATAGTTTGACTGTCAAAATAATAATTTAATTTGCGTGTATCACTTATAATTAACCAATAAAAATGGCCCTGTTTTGCTTTGTGAGTTATGACCCGAGCACCTGTGCATTCAGGCGCACAGAGCTGAGTAAACTAGGCGGGACGAAGTGACAGAGTTCCAGGGGGAACAACTAACGTATCGTCCCAGATAAATACAAAACAAAAACTATTTATCTGACTTAAATTAAAGATATAACCGTATTTTACAAATAGTATATTTGTTGTAAGTGAGAATACGAGTAGTTATTTATCCGTGGGCATGCCGGGTTGAGTGCATTGGTCTACTCCACCCCCCTGTTTTCTCAGAATGGTTCGCTCCGCCGCTGCGGTCCTGTCTCCCCGGCAGCCTCATCGCTGCTTTCTCTCTCCCGCTCAGGATTTCCGACATCACCGAGTCCTTCCTGTGCGTCTCTCTCTGAGTTTCCGTTATTAGCAGCTCTGAAATGAACGAACCGAGTCGGGTTCGGACGCGGACACCTGCGGGGGAGTCAGAGGATTGTCCTGCTCGGGCTGAATGTTGGTGCGGAGGCCGGAGAACCATCACAGCTCCGCGCGCAGGTTGAAGCTGTGGCGGCGCGCGGTGAGGCTCGCGTGTCGCTGTTGCCCTGGCGCGTGCGATGATGTTGGGAAATACGACGCAGCGGTTCATTAAGAGAGAAGGGACACTGAACAGAGGCTGCATCTGATTAAAGAGACATGCCCCCTGCGCCATATTCCTGATGCACCTGCACGTCCAGCTAATGTGGTGATCCTTACCTCGTTATGTGACATTCACAGCTTCTTCTTTTACCTCAAGCTTTTCCGTCCAGCCTGTTACCATACTCCACCTACAATACTGTAAATCTTTTTCATACCTACTTCCATTTGGACTTCTGTGTTTGAAATGACTATTTTTTTGTTATAAATTTACCCACAAGGATCCATGGTCCTTCCTAACAATATCCTTCTGCTCCTTGGTTGTTAAAAGTCTGTAGGATGCTTGATCTAAAGATGAAGGAGACCTGTCGTATCTGTGGGCGAGAGCTCTGTGGCAACCAGAGGCGATGGATCTTCCACCCTGCTGCCAAGCTCAACCTACAGGTGCTGCTGTCTCACGCCCTGGGTCGAGAGTTGACCCGAGACGGCAGGGGAGAGTTCGCCTGCTCCAAGTGCACCTTCATGCTGGACCGCATGTACCGCTTTGACACGGTCATCGCTCGAGTGGAGGCCCTGTCCATCGAAAGGTTACAGCGGCTCTTGCATGAGAAACATCGACTGAGGCTGTGCATCAGTGGGCTGTACCGCAAAACAAACTCTGATGAGGGGGCTTTGATGTTGACTGGAACCAGTGAAGGATCAGGAGATGGGATGGTGGATATTTCAGGTTTAGCCCATGCCAAGTATTGTGCCCTACTCCAGGAGGATTTGGTCTACTCTTTGTACGAGTCCTGGGCTGATGATGGAGTGGAGTGCCACCATCACCACCGCCCTCAGAGTTCTGCTGGTCCTGACTCAGAGGTTACAGGTGCAAGCTCACATCGCTGTGCACCAAGCACTCCCAGGAGGTGTCGGGGATGTTCCTACTGGCGCGTGCCAGACTCTGACTATGAAGCGGTCTGCAAGGTGCCCAGGAAGCTGGCTCGGAGTACTTCTTGTGGGCCGTCAACCAGATACTCGGCCAGCATTATAGGAGGGAGCCTGATTGGAGGAGGTGGAGATAGCAAACATGTTGAAGATTCAGAAGAAAACCCGTCTTCTCGAACTCTAGTCCCCGAGTCTCAGGAGATCTCTAGGACTTCAGACAGCAATCGCACTCTTGCTGGACAAGCCAGCTCCAGTCCATCAGTTGCATCTTTAGAGACAGCTGAAGAATACACTCGACATGGAGCCGAGACAGACGAACATCTGGGCTCCCACAGAGAAGACCACATATCTGACTGTTTATCTGAAGAACCCATGGAGATGCCACAAGTCTCACCTGGACCCAACTTGTCTCTGGCCTTCTGTTTGCTGCAAAGCTGTTCTGTCTACCGACCAGTCCGAAACATCAAGGGCAGCAAGCTCCCTGTCCTGCTTCGACAACGCTCCAGTAATGGAAGGCTTACCTTCCCTTACCATGTTTTAGGAACGCCTTGTAGAACCCCAGACACAGACCTCCACATGATGCCAACACCTGAGCTGGAGACCCCTCTGATAAGGGTGGATGATGGGGAGGATCATCACCTGAACTTGTTTGAGATGGAGGAGTTATTGGAAGATTTATACAAACAGTATCCTCCCCCACCTCCCCACCAGGTATTAATAAAAGGAGCGATCGTGCTGAAACTATTTCATTACATTATGATGATGATGAGCAGCAATTTTTACCAGTGCTTTGCAAATCCGCGGCATCGTAAGCGAACTGGCCTAACAGGCTTTGATGTTTGACAACATGCCAGTTCCTCAAAGAATTACTCCCATCCCTGTTTTAAACTAAGTAGCTTTGTAATCCAGCTGTCGGTTAACTTATCCAACCCGCAGCTTCTTGAAATAGCTTTGACTCGGCAGGATGTGAGCTGTGGTGCGTGCGTTTATTCCTTTTGTGTGCAGTCAAGTGTAAGTAAGCAGTCCTAATTATCAAATCGGTGTACACTTACAACCCCCCGCCCCCCCAGCAAATAGTGAACACAGTGTAGCTGTTTTTATATTCATGTTTACTATAATGTTGTTTAAGTGGGTTAATATCAGACATGTCTTGAGGCATGACGCCAGCCTTCACATTAGTGCTACACTGAATTTTCTGCTCCAGTATCCGTGGACAAAGGTACCTCCATCTGAATGCGGTACTACAAATCCATCTCACTCAAATCAATAATCTTTGTGAAGAGGATTCGGTTGTCTCTCAGTTGGACTCCAGTAAGAATGTGAGTTAGCTGTGCTTCCTCTTCCTCACCCTGTACTGCTGATTGAAGTAAGTTAGAAAAGTGGAGACACTAGAACAAAGTGTCTCCCACTACTGGCCTATTTTCATTTGCCCTTCAGGCAAAGAGCCACGCGATGTCAGACCACAGTATCATCTCTGCCCTGGTTGGCTACTACAATGACACTATTTAATGATATGTTTGGACAGCTGGAAAAAAGCTGCATCACATAAAACCATGTGAATTTGTTGATTTCTGCTCCACAGTAACACGGGCCATCATATAATAATATTCCTGGTTATGGCTAACCTGTATAAATAAAGGTTGAATGGATGCAGGGATAGCCAGAGGAGTTCTTTAGGTGCACTCAGTCATGCGCACTCATGCATGCAGATGCTCACAAACCAAACCAGTTACTCATTTTCCTTGCAGCTTTTTCCTGACTAAACACACAAACAAGCACAAATGATGCAGCTTGTATATCGGCATTATAAATGTAGTATTGGAGGTTATTTGTGATTTTATGCATTTCAAAGTAAAATATGTTCTAACACGTCAGTTCATTTCGATCAGATGACTTTGCAGATGTGTATAAATGCGTACTTGTTGCTGTTTTAATTGTCTCCATCTTGTGATTTTTTTTTTTTGCAGAAACTTGTCGAAGAGCAGCAGAGCCAACTCAACCAGTACGAGTGCGCGGCCGGCCAGTGTGTCGGTGAGCTGCAGAAGGCTCAGCTCCAGGTTCAGTCCCTGCAGGCTAAGATCCAGGAGAGCGAGGCCAACAATATGGTGAGACATTAACAAAAACAATACAGTTGGATATTTTCTACACAGTGGATCTGAGAATTTACAAAATCCAACTTTCTTTATTCTCTATTCCTAGAAGCTGCAGGAGAAACTGAATGAGATGGAGTGTGAGCTGCGTTCACTCCGCCAGGCTGCTCAGAGTCAGGAGAGGACCGTTCAGGGCCTCACAGAGTCCATCAGTACTAAAGACAGCGAGGTGTGTGTAGCTACACGTGTCTGTGCGAGATATCTGAACCTGCTTTACAAATGAGCTGATTTTTTTAATCATTTATTCTGCTCTAAGGCCCAGGAGCTGTACCATCTGATTGAAGGACAAAACAACACTCTGTGTAAGCTGCAAGAATTGGTCCATCGCAACCAACTTGCTCAAAGCCAGGTGAGACCCTGTTCATGTTTTGTGTTCGGATCCCTGATCATCAGTGAGAAAGGTGGAGACATACTGTCTGTCCTTTGTTCTCTAGGCTCCAGCAGGGATGAGCGAGTCCATAACGCTGGCCCAGCTGCAGAACGAGCTGGTCAGGGTGCAGGGCTCCTTGTTCTCCCTCGGCCTGGAGCTGGAGGCCAGCCAGAGGAGCCTCAGACAGAGCCAAAGGCAAGGAGACGACCTGCTGAAATTCAAGGATAGACTCAACTCTGACCTCCAAGAGGTGATGCAGCACAGGGAGGTCACAGAAAAACACAACCAGGTTAGTGATTGTTCTAAACGTGTGGTCCGATCAAACACGCGGGGCGCGGTGTGTAACCTCTCGTCCTGCTGCTGTTTGTAGGACCTGCGCAACGCCCTTCAGAAAACTCGCTCCGAGCTTCAGAGTAAAGAAGCAGCTCTGAAAGAGTGCGAGGCAGAGAAGTACGCAGCAGCGGAGGAAAAAGACAGGATCATCGAACAGCTCAAACACTCCCTGCAGGACAAGGAGCTTCAGCTGCAGGTGACAACACACACCTCACACAGACGTACGTTTTTCGTTTGCACAGATTTTTGACGTTGTCTTTTTAAATCTTATCTATAGGAATACTCTGAGATGATGGAGTCAACAAAAAGCTCCAAACCGAGAGATGTCCTGCTGGAGAAGCTAAGGGAGCGGATTAAAGAAAGAGACAGAGCTCTGGAGGTAAAGCGCTCACGGTGATGGTGTGCAGAAGTTCATGGTAGCCTCATTAAAACAAATGCTCTTGATATTAAATGCATTATTGTCAATCCTGTAAAACTCAAACAATTTAGACATCCTACAGTAGCTCTGGGTCAGTTTGTAGATTCTTATAATTTATATTTGATTAGCTTTTGACAAATATAAGGCTGAAATACAATCTGCTGACAACCGGATGTTGAAACGTGCGCTGATCAGCAGACATTTACTTTTTGCCTACAGCGCTCCATTGATGACAAGTTCTGCTGTCTGGAGGAACGCGATGGCCAGCTGAGGAGGCTCCAGCTGGCCCTCAGGGAGAAGGAGCGAGACCTGGAGAGACTCCGCTGCGTCCTGTCCAACAACGAGGAAACCATCACGGTACGTTTCCTAGCACGAGTCTGAGCCGCTGCGGTTCGGTTTACAGCTGTTTGCAGCGTGTAACTATTCTGTTTGGTTCCTCCTGCGATCCCCAAAACATCCAGAGTCTGGACGCTCTGGTGCGAAGTAAAGAACTGGAGCTGGAGCAGGCGGCGGAAGCCTACAGGAACCTTCAGTGGTTGGAGCAGAAGAGCGTGAAGGAAGAGAAAAACACTCTGAGAGAGAAAGATGCCATCATTAACCAGCTGCAGGCTGCTCTGCAGACATGCAGCCAGGAGATGCAGGTAAACACTTTTTTACCACAAACCTGTGTTACCAGTTTTAGTTTGCCAATTACAGCAGGTTTTCTGACACCGTTTGCTGTTTTGTGTGCATGTCCAGGACCTAACTGCTGCCCTCAGTGCCAGGGTGAAGGCTGGCCCTACTGAGGTTGTGGAAGAGCTTAAAGCTCGTCTGGCTCTTAAAGAGAAGCTCTTCCAGGAGCTGTTGTCAGACCGCAGCCGCCAAACTAATGAACACCAAGCACAGGTCCAAGATCTACTCAACACACTCGGCTCCAAAGACCAGTATCTGCAGGTAAGCAGCGGCACCGGTGTGGAAGCGTCAAGATCTGAGCACACGAACAAAAAGATTAATCAAACAGCCTTCGCTCTTTTTCTGTTAGGACTACTCCTACAGGCTTTCCTTGGTGATTAGTGAGCGGACAGGTCAGCAGCAGGAGCTTCGCAGACAGCTGGCACAAACGGAGCAGGAGCTGTGTGAGCTGAGGAGGGACAAGGAGAGAGACACGGGAGGAGAGATGGAGCACCTACGAAGGCTCCTCAAAGAAAAGGAATCCTTTATTAAGGTATCTGCTCATATATCCTGCTTTGTTTCTTCATGATTTGTCCTCGTGATGCTGATGGTACTTGTTGTGTCAGGAGCTGATTCAGGTGCAGGAAGAGGCGGTGCAAAAAGAGGCCGAGGCAGAAATGAAGGCTCTGAAGGAAGACATGCAGCTGGTGCTTAAAAAGGAGATGGAGGCTCAGGTGATGATGCACCCCACAAATAAAAAAATTAAAAAAAGTGCTACAGATTTTCTCACAACTATTTCTCTTTCTGCAGAAGGAGATTTCTGATCTACGCTCTTCTTTGGAGGAAGCAAAAGGCAGCGCTGATCACCAAGTAGGATTTTTCTCACAATTGGACAACGTTTGTCTTGCTTAAGAGGGATTGACTTAATGAATAATTATGAATGTGCTTTAGTGTGTGCTGGAGCAGCTGGTGTCTGAGTACAACAAGCTGAATGAGGCCCTGAAGGTTGAGAAAAGATTATACCAAAAATTAACTCGCCATCACAAGAGTGACGGGTAAGGAGGATGAACCCACATCTTGTGTTGTCCTAATATCTGTGAATATAAGTCATTAGAGTTCTACATTTTTCACCTTTTGCTGCAGCTCCGAGAAGATCCAGACTCTCCATACCGAGCTAGATTCTGTTCAGGCACTGCGCGGACAGTTGGAGGAGGTCCTGGGCAGGACCTGTAGCCTGGCCCTGGCACTGGAAAGGGCAGCTAAAAGGCAGCCTGACGTTGGAGGTGGGAACGGGCAGGGTCCAGCCTCCGAGGCTGCAGGCTGCATTCTCACTAACGCTCCTTGATGCACTCCTGAGTCATGCTCGTGCTCTAAATGTGAGACAGAGCTGCTTTCAACCACTGAGAGTCGAGTTTAGAAACGTTTAAAGGGTGGAAATGATGAGGCGAGTCAATTTAATGCAGAATTGTCTTTCAGTTTGGAGGCAGCTCTGTCCTGTTAGCTCTACTCAGAGTTGAGTAGTCTGAAATGAAAATGTGCAACTCTGAGTTTTATTTATTAACCTGTGATTGTTGTGTGAATATGTTTTTTGTTTTTGATAACTGCCTGCGTTGTAGTTTCTATATGCCATTTCTGTGTACCATCTCTCACCGGTGTCACTTCCAGCCTTACGGTCACAGTAAAGACTCGTGCTGCGGAGAAACTCAAGCTCATGCCTTACAGTGAAACGTCTCACCGTCCATCGTCTTATCATCCGTTTGTCTGCAGGATGTGCACACTTTACAAAAACCCAAGTTAAAAATAAATAAAATGCAGCCTTGTATCTCAATTTGTATCTGGGGTTAATGTTTAGCTTTTATTCAGCTGTTTGTGGGGTCAACTTTCTCAGAAGTTCATGAAACAAGCTCGTTAGGTCGAACCTGAGAGGTACGTCTTATTACAGATTAATGTGACAGTAACTTTTTTAAAGATTTGCTTGAAATCAAGTATCAGTTCTAGAAAGTTTTTCTCTGATCCTTTTTTTTTTTTTTAACCTCTAAGATGGAATTATTGTTAAGTCTTTTGTGTTTTAAATGCGTAAAAAATAAACGTGCTTGCCTTTTGTCAAGAGCACTTTTGCTATGGTCTTATTATTAATTTTGTTCAACTGGGAATTTATTTGGAAAAAAAAAAAAAAAAGTTCCAAACCTAAAATCCCAACTCCTGCTCCTTTAAAACAAAATCAAACCTCTTTGTGTTTTTCCTTTTTGAATCCTAAAAACACATTTTTGCCCTCAACCTCCCCGTTTATATGTGGAAGCTTACACAAGACCACTCGCTGCACACGTGTTTGAACGTCACAAATCAAACCTAAGACGTTAAATCTCATCATCCATGTCAGTGATATTTGTCCAAGTTAGTTTCTCCATGTTCCTGCATGAGACTGTGGCATGGTCTGATTCATGTTTGCATGGCTGTAACACCCAGATGTTTTCAAAATCACCAAAAATAAGGGCTGTATGATGACATGGGGGAGACAAAGTTGATGTAACACCAAACAACACACCACAGAGTGAAAACAGCCCCAGAGCGCATCATGACACCAATAAAAGTTCCCTTCATTGGTAACAAAAAACAGATTTATTTCAATAATAAAGCCCCTTTCCCTTTAAAATCCCTCCCAGCCACTTTTCCACGGAGCCTGTTTCCACTCACATTCTTCTCTTTCTTTGTATCACTGCACACAGTCCGTAAACAATGCAACACAAAAGAAATACGATACAAGATAAACCAGCAGCACGACTTCTTCACGTGCAGGATCCATAACGCCCGTGTGAGAGTTCAGGATAATAATAAAGAGCAGCTCTCTTAAACAGCCACAGCTGAGCTGCTCGAGTGTTTTTGGCTGGTGAGCAACTCGTGACATAACGTTTCCCATCAGCCCCATGACTTCCAATGTGGTGATTCAGAGCAGAAGGAAAGGCTGAGGTAGAAGTAAAAGAATAACAGGAAGAAGAAAGGGGGGAAAAGGTTAGGATTTATAATTAAAGACGCACAGAGTGTTTTGTTCTTACACGGTTATTGTGTTTCCAGAGCTCAGTTCAGAAGAGGAGGGAGATGATGAAGATGGCAGCAGTGAAGAGTTCACGGACAGCATAGAGGAGGATGACAGGAGTTTAGACTCAATTCAGGTAAAATACTTTTGCTACTTCAATTGATTTAAAACAAAAGATTTGGTCACTGAACAAAAAAAAATAACGCTTGGTTTTTGTCTTGAAGGCTCAAAGAGCTGGAGGTGTGACTGAGGAGCTGGTAAGGGGCTCGTTACTCCGAAATGCTGACATAAAACACCTTGAAGAATCTAAGGAGACGCTTGAAGCCGAGCTCGAAGAAATCCAGTCCCAGCTGGAAAAGGATGGATTCAACTCCTTTGCTGAGATGAGGTGCAGAAATGTTCCAAGTTTTGTGTGACTTCCAGTTCCTCTGGATTGTTTGAGAAGGTGGATTTCATTTTGGCAACGTTGTGTATGTGTGTGTGTTCCTGCTAGGTCTGCCCTTCACAGGCTTCAGAAGGAAAATCAGGTTTTGAGGGAAGATCTGAGTCCACCTGGAGTGGTGGGCCTGAGTGAAAGCACAGTGAATAATTTGAATCAAGAAAAGGAGGAGGGTGGTGTGGAAGATGATGTAGAGGTAGCATCGCAAGTGGTGTCTGGAAAGCGAGGTCCCCCTTGTCCTAGTCAGAGCAACGAGTCGGGGAAGAGGCTCTGCACGAGGCCGTGCTCCCTGGACCTGACGTCCCACCAAACTCAGGCGGTAACTTCAATCCTCTTTATGTCGTACGGCACCATATTCAGGAGTTTTCCCTCCATTATGGTGGTAGATGCAGTTCAGTGGTTCATATTATGACATTCAAATAATTAAATGTTTCTTTGAAGTCCTTATTTTTTTTGTTTCTGAACCTGTTTGTTGCTGCAGAAGGTAGAATCATCTAGTGGCATCAATGAGGTGGGGGCGCTCTGTCAGGACATTAAAAAGGGTCTTCATGAGCAGGCTGCTTGTCTTCTGTCTGACTTAACTCTGAGCTGCAAGGAGATCCGAGAGCTGCAGGAGAGACTGATGGTGTCTGAAGCCACGGTCCAGGCTCAGGCTGAGCAGCTGAAGGACCTCAGAGATCTTCTCAGTGAGTTTGTCTGCAAAGATTTGATTTAAAAAGTCCATAAAACCACAGTCAGGTTCTGATTTCCCTCTGTGTCCATGCAGCAGAGACATCGGTCCAACAGGCTAATAAGCAGGTGCAGGTGGACCTCCAGGATCTGGGTTACGAGACCTGCGGCCGCAGTGAGAACGAAGCGGAGAGAGAAGACGCCAGCAGTCCAGGTGATTCACTCAGATCTCCTGTTTGTCAAACACACTCACAGCTCTCATTTAGTTTTCAGCTTTTCAGCATGTCTCTCCCTTTCTTCTGCTCTCAGAGTTTGATGACTTGGAGATGTGCACATCACTGTCCCACCATCCGAGCTTTGACACTGGCTGGTACTCTGGAAACAGAGGAGCTTGTGAAACAGAGGATGAGACGGCGTCCCTCCAGCGCCTGGTCCAGGATCTGCACTCACAGCTGACCCGTTGCCACAAAGTGATCCGAGGACTGCAACTCCGTGTCCGCTCCTTGTCTACCACGAGCGACTACGCCTCCAGCCTAGAGCGCACCCCTCGGAAGGTAGTACCTTCACAGTCTAGGGCATCTAATGTCTTCTAGAAGTATTCTACATTTTGTTTCATGCTCATTTTTTAGGTTAACTGGGCGTTTGAGAAATCCCCAGCCCCTAGCGGTGCAGAGGAGGACGAGGGCTGGATGTCTGACACCCAGGGAGTTCGCTCTGGTTCCAGGCCCAGTAGGGAGCTGCAAGAGCTTATGGAACGAGTCGCTTCCCTTGAGGCTCAGCTGAAGACCAACAGAATGGAGGGCAAAGGTCAAGAAGAGGAGGGGAAATGTGTCACCTGGCCTGGGTGAGAAGAAACGAATTTGAAGGAGGAAGGAGAGTTAATAAATAAATAAAAACCTCCTTATATGCTTTGGTTCGTTTTGCTCCTTTCTGATTTACTTCCTTTCTGTGCAGGAAGTACAACTCTTTGATTCAGGCACAAGCTCGCGAGCTGTCCCACTTGAGGCAGAGGATGAGAGAGGGGCAGGGTGTCTGCCACATCCTGACACAACACCTGGGAGATACCACCAAGGTGCTGCAGTTTGTGTTCACTCAGTTACTGATGATGTTTCTGTCACTGCAGCACGAGCCCGATCCTTGTATTCTCACGCTGGTTCAAACTCTCACCACCTTCCAGGCTTTTGAAGAGCTCCTGCGAGCCAACGATGTCGATTACTACATGGGTCAGAGCTTTAGAGAGCAGCTGGCTCAGAGCAGCGCCCTGGCACAAAGAGTTATCACCAAGATAAGTGGACGTAAGGACAATCTCCACATCGCAGCACAGAAACCCACTTCACTGTTGTCTTCCTTTTACTAAAGCAGCATTAATCCACCTGTTTTGTATATAATTTTTTGTTTTATTGCTACAGGGGAGCATGCAGAGAGCCATGATGATAAGACGGGTCATGAGCTACTTGCCTTAAGGTTCGTCAACTTGATTATTGCCCACCGCCGAAAGGCAAAGGCAGACAATAATGTTTTTGAGTGTCTTATCTGTTAGAAAATATCTTATAAGACACAAAACGAATTTCAATTAAACTTGCAAAAATATTCATTAGATGAACTTTTGGAAACAACACAACTCGAGCTGGCTGCAGCTAACATAAAAATGGCTATAGCTTGGTCAGTTTTACAGATACTGAACTAAGATTTGACATGGGAGCTGAGAATAACTCACAACACATGCTCTGAGCATAAGTTTGCATAAATAAGTATTTTTGAGGTTTAACCAAAAACGACTACAACTTCTTAATTTATCAACATTAGTTAAAAAACTCTTGCATGAAAGGCATCAGGCAATATGCATTCATTTAAGGAAAGCTAGGCCTTTAATATTGTGTGGCAAAAATCTTATTAGGCAATATACGGTGAACATACACCTTTTTGTGTCTGATTCAACCACAAAGCACGCTCTGAAAATTATGTTTTATAAGTAAATATGCTTTATTGCTTCACAATTTCAAACTTTACATCATCATTTGGAAAAGACAGAGGTGTCACTCAGTGCTCTGACAGTCTTAGCTTTAGCTCTTTACTTTGCAGAGCTCTGACCATAGATATATCTATGGCTCTGACTGGTTGAGTCATTAGTTTCCTGTCACGTGATACCCAGTGATCTGGGTTCCACATGGTCGCTTAAGTGCCAGGATGGTGTTCATCCATGCTCACAGGTTATTTGAAGAGCTGTAGTTCAATAAACAACCTGCAGGTGTCCCACTAGGCAACTCTAAAACTGGTTGCCAGGTAAAGTTAAAATGTCTTATTTACCCACTCCTTTTCTGTGCACATGTTCAACAAACACAACACACACCTCATCTTAGAATATCTGTACTCAGCTTATATGCCAGTTTAGGTCAATATACTATAATTTTAAAGCCAAAGTACTATAGTTTATAATTTCTTATCTGGCAACCCAATTGACATGGAAACTACAGCGTTTTCATGTAAACTCGCTCATTTTCAGTTTAGCCCCAATAAACATTGAAAACATTGAAAAAACACTAACGTTTCCAGAGGTTGTTCTCATGCAAGTATACTAGGTAGATCACTTTGACTTGATCGTTTTAAAAGGAGCTTGCATGATGAAAAAGTGTGGGCACCCCTGATTTAGGTGCTCTTTATTTTTTAGGCTTTCTCAGAAAATGTGTCTGATTCTCGTCCTGTGTGCTCGTGCAGGCTGAGCAAGGAACTGCAGAAGAAAGATAAACTCATTGAGTCGCTTCACACCAAACTGCATCAGCATCCAGAGACCCCGTCCAGCTGCCACGCCCTCTCTGAGACCACTGACCATTCAGACAGGACCTCCTTGGTGTCTGATGAGTACCAAACCCATGAAGACCTGGAGCTGGGATCAGACTTGGACACCAGAGAGTTTCAGGAGGAGCAGCAGCAAGGACACATATCAGATGGTACAGTTGAGCTTCATTTTTCTTTTGTTTTAGATCTATTTTTCTATTCCTTCACTTTTCATACCCCTCTTGTAGTCCCTCCATTTCTCCATTCTCATGGTCTCCTCAAGTCTCCCAGCAGCTGTCCCAACATGCTTTGCTCAGCCACTCTGGGTCTGAACCCTCAGACAGCTGGAGGTATGGCACTCAGAGGGCTAAACAAACACTTTTTCACACGTTTTGTTCCTGTACGTTTAATTTCCCATTATTCTCCACCAGCACCGTTCAGTGCTCCTGTTTCCTCCCTTTCTGTCCCCTCGCCTGGCCCTGACATCTGGGGTTATGACCCCCGGCCCAGGGCCCTGTCTGTGATCGCTGTTCGCCCAGAGCTGGACACGCTGTACAAACAGATGCAGACCAGGGGTGAGGGGCCGCAAACAGTGTGTGGCATGGCGAAAACGTTTGGCTTGTGTGTTTTTCTGACTCTTTGATTGTCCTGGGAATATTTCGCTCAGCCTTTCTTTCCGTTGTGCGATTTCAGGCTTTCCACTTCCCCATGACCAGACTCTGTTCAGTCTTTCACCTGGTGCTCATAACCAGCACGATTTCTCCACCTTCAACCAGCGATCACAACATGCCTTTCAACAGTACCAGCTTGGTGGCATCTCTGAGGGCCACTCTCTTCGCGCCGACTCAGGTCTAATGTCAGGAAGGCCTTTATGGGACATGGAGAACTTTGTTCAGCCAGTTGAAGGGTATGCCGGCCACCAAACAGGAAGCAGCCAAGCAGGTGTGACCAATTAATTTTGAAGATGTTTAACATAAGCTTCATCTAGTATTTAAAAACTTGAACCAGCAATGTAACAAATGTATATACCTCAAGGGATGAGTTTGATAGAGGAGCACCTGCAGGAAGTGAGGTGTCTCCGTCAGCGCCTGGAGGAGTCCATCAGAACAAATGAGAGGCTCCGACAGCAGCTGGAGGAGAAGCTGACTTCTTCTGGACACGAAGGAGGTGGTCTATTCTCACACATCTAAGTTATAACCAGTATTTTACACCATAATGAAATAATCGTCCCTTTTTGTTCAGGAGCGCCAACAAACATCTATATTCAGGGCCTGGACACAGTCACTCAACTGTCTAATGAAGTCAGAGTCCTGAAGGAGGAAAACCTCGCTCTACAGTCCCGCCTGCAGGCCAACACAGGTCATTCATCGCACTGCTGACAGACACTGAACAGAAAATTGTTTGATTTTGTGGCATCATGTTAACCCCATCCGGTGTCTCTTCTTTCAGACACAAACGAGGAGGCGGTGCAGTTGCGAGAGGCGGTGTTTACTGCACACACCCGTCTGAAGCAGGCAGAGCTGGAGGCTGAGCAGTGGAAGGAGGAGCTGCGACGCCTTCAGGCGCACACTCAGGAGCAGGGACAGCAGATTCACACGCTCAGGCAGGAGCGACAGGCCAGCCAGGACAAAACGAACAGGTTGGTGGGTTTAAAAAAAAAAAGAACCTTCTCCGTCAGGTTTTTCCTTTTGCTTCAGACAGTTGTGATGGTTTGTGTTTGGCCAGGCTGCAGCATGAGGTGTCTCTGCTGCAGCAGCAGCTGAGCGAGAGCAGGGAGCTGATCCACTCCCTGCAGAGTGAACTGCACGTTTATGACCGAGTGTGTTCGAGCACCAAGGCTAACAAAGGTCAGTATATTATCTGAAAGGTTTAGTTATTAGTTTCCCATAATTTTGTTGCATTGGCTTCATCTAGTGGCTGATTGGAGAATAGTAGAACGATTTGCATTTTTAGCCCTTGAGGTTTAAATTTTTTATTTTTTTTTGCTAAAATGAGACCAAAAAAAAAAGTTTTTTAGACAAAGGACGCTTTTTTTCCTCAATGTTTATTTATACAAAATAAGTACAACAAAAAATTGCAGCAACAAACATGGGTCGAGGCTTAACCTCATAGGACCTGGACTCTAGCATATGTGGATGCCAGGTCCTAGGAGGTTAAGGCAGGCATGAGAGTATAGAAATACACGCAAATAAAAGTGAAAATATGGTATGTCCATATATATACAGTAGAAATTCATTACAGAGTGTATTTGTATTTTGCATTGGTACAGTAATTTAAAGTGGGCAAATAAGAAAAAATACAAGTTAAAAAACATGTAAATCTGGATTTTAGCATGGAAAATTTACAGCTGTGCTCATGAAATTTGACTAATATTACTATTAAGTTTACAGCAAAAACTTTCTTTCTGGAATATTCAAACTGAAGAAAACGAAAAGTATAGTTTTAGCGTTAGACGGTAGGTCCATTTCTAACTTTCTGTTCACAAACAAGAAGATATTTTTCCAGAACAACTGAGTATAAGGACAGACCCAGAAAAGAGAGTGATGGTCTCCTCAGAGCTGTGGCAGAGAGAACACATTGGGTCTTTGGACGATACTTGGAGATTATACTGACAGGACAGCATTTATGCAGAATCTTTAGGGACACTTCTCAAATCTTATTAGTTATGAAACGTTTTCTAGGCACTTTCCAACAAATATGACTAAATAAATCATCCCAGAAAAAGTGGACAAGAGGACATAGAAATGACTGTATGTCCTCTCCAGGGTACCTGTGTGAGGTGGCGGGTCTTCCGGTGGAGCTGGGGGAGCTGCTGGGGGAGGTGAGGAGTCTGCGAGCGCAGCTGCAAAGCAGCGTACAGGAAAACAGCGCCCTCAAACAGCTGGAGCTCCACAAGCAGCTGGAACAGAAGCTGGGCGTTGGGTCTCCACGGACTCCGTCTCTGTCCGCCCTCACCGCCAGTCCTCAGAGAGAAAACTTCTACAGACGGCAGCTGCTGCACGGTTCGACAGAGCTTTCTAAACATAACCCCAACGCACCGCACAACATGTTTGAGAGGCTCTGCGTGCTGCTGGTTTGTGTGTGTGATGTGTGTGTGTGTGTGCTCCGCAGACCCTGCTCCGTCTCCACCAGTCAGGGACATTGGTCTGTTTAACTGCGGATCTCCTGGCCCCCACTACTCAGACCTGGATGACAGCCATAGCACTGCAAATGGTGTGGATTAACTGCAGCTATAGTGCAGCACTTACATTTGACTTGATATTTTCAGTTTATTATAAATAAACTGAACTGCTTTGCCATAATACTGCAACCCTAATTCCAAAACAGCTGTGACGTTGTGTAAAACATATTCAACTAACTGAATTCAATGGTTTGCAAATCTCATAAATGCATATTTTATTCACAGTGGTTCACAGTAAACATAACAAATGATTATGAATGGTACAATGTTTATGACAAATTGAGGTAGTTTTGTATTTAATGGCAGCAACACGTCTCAAAGAAGTTGACACAGCGGCAACAAAAAGTTTTAAAAGTAAGTGGTATTAGTAATAAACAGTTTATTTGTTATTGTTAATTGGTAACAGATCAGTAAGAGGACTGGACATAACAAGAGCATTTTAGAAAGGCTGAATCTCTCTGGTTTACCAGTTTGAGAACAACGATGTCTAAACATAATGGAACAATTTCTTCACGAAAAAATCGGTAAGACTTTGAATATCCCATCTTCTGAATTTCATAATATTAATAAAAGATTTCAAGAATTTGGATCAATCTCTGAGCTCAAAGGACAACGTCAAAAGTAGATGTTTGTGAACTTTGGGCCCTCAGGCAGCTCTGCATTAAAAACAATTCTGCTCTGGACATCTCTGCATGGGCTCAGAAACAATTCTATGAATCATTTTCAAAAATGATTTACACACAATTCAAAAGCCTGCCTCTCTGATGGTATGGGGGTGCATTAGTGCTTGTGGCTTGAGCAGCTTCCACATCTAGAAATGCACCAATAATGCAGTAAAGTTTTATAACATGATCAAGTAAAAAATGTAGAAAACAATGCATGACACCGCTGAACAACCTGAACCCTACACGAGCCAGGAACAGGACAACATTCTCCTCAGTCTGTTGTTAAACAGTCGTCCCAACTTTTTTAGATACCTTGTTGCCATAAAATTCAAATTTTGTTTAAAACACTACTATTTCTCAGTTTGAACATTTGATATGTTTACTATGTCCCACTGTGATTAAAATGTGGGTTTATAAATTTGCAAATCATAGCATTTTGCTTTTATTTACATTTTAATCTACATCCTGTTATGCCATATGGGTTTTCCTTTACTTATTTTTTTAATCTGCGTGCATTGCATAAATTCTAAACTTGACTAATTCTGTATCATGTGAAAAAATATCAATAAATCTTTACGTCACAGTCTTTCCCAAATTTGTAATCGTTCTGGTTTATCTCACACAGACCCTCTCGACCCACACTCTGAACTGGAGGGGGAGGCACCAGACGGATCGTTTGCAAACCGTAACGGTCGCCACGCCATCGGCCATGTAGACGACTTCAGCGCTCTGCAGCAGCAAGTCCTGGAGGGCCGAAGTCTTGTCCAGCGCATGGAGACCACCCTGCAGGCCTACCTTGGCCCACCGCTGCTGGAGGGCAAAGAGACAGAAAGCAAAGAACTGGTCTGTTTCCAAAATCCAAGCTGTGAGAAATAGTTGTACAGAAAAAAACACACACATATATATATTTATATATCTAATTTAGATCTGCCCTTAGGTTCTGGACTATGGATGTGTAAAGAGCCTTCAGTTCAACACCAAAACTCTGAGACAGATCTTGGAGGAGGCAGCAGCTCTGCTGAAGATGTTCTGGAGAGCAGCTCTTCCAAGCACTGATCCCCCCACCCAAAACCTCAAGAAGGTTTGAAAGGCCACGTTATACGTTTTCACTGATTTAAAGTTTCAAACATTTTGGCCCAAAAAAACAAAACAATGAGCAAATATACTCATTGTGTGTGTGTTTCTAGGAGCAGTGCATGCAGGAGGAGATTTTATCCCTCAAACTGCGAATATCTGAGCAAGAAGAGGTTCTCAGGGGGACGGTTCAAAGACTGAGGAACACCAGTCGCACCAAGGAGAGCATGGAGCACTTCATAGTCAGCCAGCGTGAGTGATCATGTGAATTTTGGGAGGAAGCGAGTAAAACCAAAGATCAAAAAATGCGTACTGTATTTTCCTGAGTATAAGTCGCATCAGTCATAAAAAGAATCATGAAGATTAAAAAATCATATATAAGTCGCTTTGGCATATAAGTCACATTTATTATGCATCACAGCTGACCTGTCGCATTTATTATGCATTTATTATGCATTTATTATGTATTTAATATGCACTAATTTAACGGTCAAAATAGCTTCATTTAGCCTAGGCGGCACAACGCCTTCCATCCATCCATCGCGGCCGGAGCCGGTGTGTCTCAGTTTAACTTTTCCTTAATAAATGCACTTTAATGGTCAAAACAGCTTCATTTTGTCTGAGCGGCGCAGCACCATCCATCCATCGCGACTGGAACCGCAAACTTTCCAGTGTTCCTCCACCTGCACCAACTGAGTGAAGTGAGCGCGCATGGGAGGACTTGCTGTTGCAGTTCTTTGAAATTTAAAGCATCAGTCAAAAATGCGTTATGAATATGGAAAAAAAGTATACAAGTCGCTTCAGTTTATGTCGCAGGACTGACAAATCTATGCAAAGAAACTGCGACTTAAGCCCTATTCGCACGGGATTAGTTTTACCTAGGGACCACATACTATTTGTAAT